TTAATAGCCTGATATCAGCAAAGTTGAGTGAAAAGGAATCTCTAGCTGGGCACCCAAAACTAGAAGCTCCCAAATTAGATGCCATGTCTGCACATTTTATTTCTCACAGTAAGAAATCTTTCAACTGCAAATACCACAGCAAACTATGGCACATGATCAACCTTCTTTCTCTTAAAGACTCATATTTTTCAAAAAGAATAAAATTAATTAACATACAATGTTTTACTATTACAGTCTGGTAAAATTGTTCAGACTTCACAGGTTTTTCTGCAGCCTGAAATTTCTGGTATAGGGACACTGAGGGACTTGAACTGTAGTGAATCTAAGCCCAATTTACATCTGCTGAAGATTTGCCCATGTAGTGGAAAGGGGCCAATAAGACTATGCAAATCAATTAGTCCAATTTGTCTTGAGGTTTCTCTCAGACTTCTATGGGTTTTCATAAACTTTATTTTTAAATGCTGATTATTCTGTCATTTAAGGAAGCAATATGCTGCCTTGACAAGACTGGTCACTTTAACTGACATTTTCCCTGTAGACATTTTCTTGCCTTAGTGTGCAGGATCCTGTGGAGGTGATGGCAATATAGAAGACAGCCCTGATGTTCCAATATCTTGTGAACTCTATGATCCAAAAGTAATGTACTTAATCAAGTGTAAAGTGAGAGGTGATTAAGTTTTGCAGTACTGTACAATGCCTGACTGCTCAGAAATGCATCTTTTGATGTGGTGCAGAGAACTGGACCAGTTCTGTCTGCTTTATCAAAAAATGACGTTTTAGTAATCTGAAAAAAGAGCCTCAGAAATCCCCACAAATGTTTATCTTTGGTCTGAAGCTTTAAAAATATTTGTTTGTTTGCTTGTTTAATTTGTTTGCATTTTAAGCTCAGGAAGGTGTCAACTTGACATCTTGTGGAAACATTTCTTTGCTTTTTTTCCAGATGAGGTTGAGCAGGGGCAGCAAGTTTCCAATCATCACTAGTTGTTCTAAGCATCCAACCAAAAAAAAGAGAGAAAAGAAAACCATAAACTCACCTTTCTATTGTGGTTTATATGAATTATTAAGAACTGAGATTCAGTGAAGCCTCAATTCTTGAGCATAGAATCAATACTATATTTTATATAGCAAGGGCAGTAAACCCAGCTTGTTCTACTTCCATCACAGTGAAGCCTTGTCAAGTCTCTCGGGCAACCTAATTCACTAGGGCCAAAGTCTAACACTACTGATGTGAAAGGTGGATTGAGGTGGATTGAAAACTCATTGAATGGCTGAGCCCAGAGGGTGGTGATCAGTGGCACAGAGTTTAGTTGGAGGCCAGTAACTAGTGGTGTACCCCAGGGGTCAATACTGGGGTCCAGTCCTGCTTAACATCTTCATTAATGATCTGGATGATGAGGCAAAGTGTACCCTCAGCGAGTTTGTAGATGACACAAAACTGGGAGGAGTAGCTGATATGCCAGAGGGTCGTGCTGCCATCCAGAGGAATCATGGCAGGCTGGAGAAATGGGCTGACAGGGACCTTATGACTTTCAACAAAAGCGTGAAATCCTGCACCTGGGGAAGAACAACCCCACGCATGAATATATGCTGGGGCCCACCTAGCTGGAAAGCAGCTTGGCAGAAAAGGACCTGGGTGTCCTGGCAGGCACAAAGTTGAGCATGAGCCAACAATGTGACCTTGATGCAAAGAGGGATAATGGTATCCTGGGCTGCACAGGGCAAAGAATTGTCACTAGCTTTACAGAGGTGATCGTTCACCTTTATTCAGCACTGGTAAGGACACATCTGGAGTGCTGTGCCCAGTTCTGGGCTTTTCAGTACAGGAGAGACATGGACATACTCAAGACAGTGCAGCAAAGGGCCATGAAAATTATTAAGGTACTGGAGCATCTCTCCTATGAGGAAAGGCTGAGAGAGCTGGGACTACTTAGCATAGAGAAGAGCAGGCTTGGGGGGATCTTAATGTGTATAAATACCTGAAGGGAAGGTGCAAAAAGGACATAGTCAGGCTCTTTTCAGTGGTACTTGGTGAAAGGACCAGAGGCAATGAGCACAGACTGAAATAGGAGGTTCTGTCTGAACATCAGGAAACACTTTTTTACTGTGACAATGACCGAGCATGGGCACAGGTTGCCCAGAGAGGTTGTGGAGTCTGCCTCCTTGGAGACATTCAAAAGCCATCTGGACATGGTTCTGGGCAACTGTCTCTAGGTGGCCCTGCCTGTTCAGTGTGGTTGGAGAAGATGACCTCCAGATGTCCCTTCCAACATCAACCATTCTGTGATACTGTGATCCTGTGAAAGACTTGTTCGCTACAGTGGGGTTGAGATGTGACCTTCTGTCCAGGAGCCCATGGAATTCAGTTCACTTTCTTGTACTGTGAGAACTATTTGCAGCCCCTGCTTAAGGATAACTTTTTACTATGTCCCGGACATGAAAGAGAGAGAATAGATCTGTACTGAGTTTAATGAGAAGTTATTTCTGCAATTATTGCCTCTTGAGTGAGGGTGCCAAAAAAGGGCCAGTCATGATGGGACACAGGCCTGCAGGGGAATAACATCAGTAATCTCACTTCCAGAAGGGAATAATTAGGCAGACCTGTGTCAGCCTGTATCGAAAAGGTGAAAGGCTCCATTGTTGTATTACCTGTAGCCAAACTACCTGATTTTACTTTCAAACTCCATTTCCAAACATAGAAAATAAACACCAGTTTCCTCGCACATATCACAAGTCACCCAAAAAGTGGTAGCTGCAAACACTCTGCATTGCACTAAGCATTAATAATCATGTGGGCACATTTCTGATCCTCTGTATCAACAAAGGAAGATCATACAGTCATCAAGAGGGGAAAGTCTTGAGTAAGCTTGTAGAGAAACTGAGAAGAGGTACAGAGGACTCCAAAGTATTTCCTTTTTGTCCTGCTTGGTAAATGGAATACTGAATGTGAGTGACAATGGAGAGGGAAGAAAGAAGACAATAATCCTGTTTGTTATTTGAGGTTTTAAGTTGTTCTTTGAAAATGGAACCTGAAGTTGACTGAACTGGGTTGTATATTATATTTAAGAATACCTAGAGCTTGACTGCAGGAACGTTATACATCCTATAGCATTTGCAACTCTGAAATGGAGAAGCTGTAGCCTAAGAAACAGTAATTGACACACTAAACTTATTTATAAGGGTCTAAGTTCTTTGCTGGGGTAATTATATGTCACTTAGGTGAAAACCAATTTCAATCTGCACCTGTTGGAAGTTTACCTCAATGTTTCATACCAGAAAAGGAGAAAGGGAATTAACAGATTCACAGATTAGAAACTGAACTGTGGGTTAAAAGCAAAGAGTAAAAGGCTATCTTTCTAAATAAATTTGCTATGAATCAAAAGATAACCCACAAGGAACACTCAGAGTGTGTTTTTGGGACACCAAACCTTCACCCTTTAAGTGTTCCAGGCCAAAGTCAAGAAGGCATCCACACAACAGAACAAATGCCAAACAACACTTGATTCAAATGAGGGGAATAAACAAATCATGCTCAGAGCATTTTTTTTTTTTTACTGCAAGAGAGAGGAGGAGCCTTTATTTTCCCCAAGAATCTCTTCAATATGCAAATCCTAGTAACGAAAACCCACCTCATCCCACACAGCTGAAGGAAATAACTCTATCTTTTTAGTTTTTTCCCATTCTCCTTCTTCATCACTTAATCTAACTGAACCATTTCTATTTATGCTGTTTTCTGTATTTCCAGATTCTAGAAGAGAGAGTCATGACTGAAGACTGCTTTTTTCATAAGTCTTTTAGCCTTACTCACACTATTGTGCAAGATGAGAAGTATTTATCTAAAGTGAAAACTTCTAAATATGCTGAAGTCCTCCTATTCATCTAAAATCTGTAGCTAATTCCTGAAGTCCTTGAAAATGACAACAGAGATTCAGATATTTTAAAGTCAAAAGGGACCTTTACTATTCTGCAGCCTCCACAGATCAATATCATAAAATGGATCATAGTAACCTACTCTGAAGTCCCCACAGGAAAAACTTTTCTACCAGTTGAGCTAGAGTCTAGAGTCTATTTAGCTAAAGTCATCTCATCTTAAGTGCTGGGCACATCATAGAAGCTATATTCTGCTCCACAGAACATTTTTGTTATCCACTCACTGTTTTGTAAACACATACACTGTGAATGTAAATAAATATAAGCTGGGGTCCAGCACTCCTGAGCATTTAAGCAGCTAATTTTCACCTACATTTTCCTTATAATACTTTTGTGCCCATTAGGATCTTCAGTCAAATCCTCAAAACTGTACAACATATTCCAGAAAAATTTCTACAAAATGCCTGCTTTGCAAAATAAAATTTCAGGAACTACTGGAAGTATTCAGATTATTCAGAGAAAAAAAGAGCTGATGCAAAAGATTTAGAAACTATGTCTCATTTCCTATTCCAAATGAATTCAGTAGCAAAAGTTACTATGCAATTACATTTACTGTTGAATGTGATCCTTAGAACTGTTTCAAATTCCATTTGCTAGTTTAGCATGTTACTGATCTCACAATTTAGACTGGTGTCTGGTGAGATTTAGGCCCTAACAGAATGTGTCCTGTTTACAAGAAAGCTTAAGTAGTGCTAGCATCTCTACACATTTAACAGGAGGGATCATATTCCTCTTGCATGTACTGTATTTGTTGGTAAGAGAGTGTCTAAAAATTGTGTTTTGTTTTTGCTGACACTTTCTTCTTTAGCTGCTTTATCAGACTTTGCAATATCCTACCAGATAAAATTTACTTTGGCCAATATTAATCAGTCAGCTTGATGTCCTAACATTTACTTTTCTCTTCTGTTGTTTGCAATGCCTCTTGGTATGGGGACAAATATCAGACATGTGCTCATGCAAAGTCTGTGGTATGTACTATATAAATGAGACCCCACTTCTAGCTACCTAGCTACCCTCTGAACAGTATTCTTAGATCGTTATTTCTGAAAGGGATCATTTTTTTTTCATATGCCATGAAGGCACTAGTAGCTTTAATATTGCTTGTTCAGCTTCCAATTCACAAAGCTGTACCAGCAGCTCCCCCTGCTCCCTTGGGATGTGATGACCCAGAATCTGAGGCAGCAGCTGAAGTAGCCGTGAGTTATATTAATGGCCACAGTCATCACGGATACAAGTTTGACTTAAACAGAATTGAGAATATCCGCGTGCTACCCCAGGTAAGTGAGGAGCTTGTAGGCTGAGCATTATGTTAACCTGGAGATGCTTGGAAATGGCCAACAAGCCCTGCCAAGGGCTGTATCCTCACATGGGGTAAGTCATCATGGCTCTGTTGATTTAAATGGGGCAATGCCACCTGGTAGCAGTTGAGAATCCAGGTCACTGGAATGTATCTCTCAATGAACAGAACAGAGGATGAGAGAGAAATGTTCAGATATTTTTGTACAATGCTGGAAAGGGTTCAGTTTACAAATGCAATGTGCTTGCTAAGGCAGATCATTCAAAGTGCTAATTCATGAGTCCAGTAGCTAATCTGGAGAAAAACTGTGAGGATAATCTTCATGATGCAGGTAATTATTTATTGGATAAATGCATACCTATCATAACTCCATACTATTAGTGATTTTGTAGTAGGCATTAATTTTACCTAATATCCTACTGAGCTGACAAGGAAGCTGAATGGAAATAACTGTGGCTTGTAGTCTCATTTTCACTAAGATCTATTGCCATCATCGTAGGCATCTAGAAAAGCTGTAGAAATGGTCATGAATACAATGTATGCACACATTCAGAACCTTTGGTTTTCTCAAAACATTGAAAATGATCCCAAATATTAACAAGAATGAAACTCAACGGCTGTTTTCAACTTCTTATGAGAGCGAGAATAACATTTACGAGAAACTAAACCAGACATTAATGAGATTAGAGGTGTGCCCACAGTTACCTACACAGAAACACTGGTGATACTGCTTTGCTTGTATTTAATACTCTTACACTAAAATAACATCATTGGTTTAAATGGAATCACTCATGACTCAAACCTCAGAGACAATCTCGGAGCTAGGGAACCTCCTTTCTGCCCTTCCACTCCTGTGCCTTATGTTATAGTTGCAAAGGTTCAGGAACAACCATAAAACATCCTGCAGTCCATACACAACATGGCTACTGGGGCTGGAACTTAGCTGGTGCAATTCGGTGTAATTGCAATGGGATAAATGGGACAGGCCAATGTGCATCATTGTTTATTTGGTATCTGGTTAAAGAAACATGGCATTTTTTCATCAACAAAGACATCTGTTGATTTTTTAAAACTACCCAACAAAATAAAATCATTAACTTAAGAGAATTAACCCATTACATACAGGCCAAACTTTCCCAAATTTATGCACCAGTTCCTTAGCTGGAAAAAAATTAGGGTGACTATCTTGACTTACTCTAGCTAAAAAACTGGGTCCCGTTTTTTACAAAGTTAAATAATAAGGACCCATTCAGTTACTCTAGTGTATACCTGGAGCTTTTATGACAGTCAGCAACAGAGCCACAGTGCAGGCCCAGAGAAGCAATCTGGTGACGTTTTGTGAAGTAATTACTACAATTCCTGGTGTTTTTTTGTTTTGTTTTGTTTTGTTTTTCTTCCAGGGGCCGAATAATGACATAATATTTCTTGAACTTGACTTATTAGAGACCACATGCCACATTCTCAGTCCTACGCCTCTTGCAAACTGCACAGTAAGGAGCTTCACAGAACATGTGAGTATCTAAAGCACTACTAGCTCAGTCCAAAGGTGCATGTTCAATATGTTGATGCTAGAGGCCAGGCTATCATCAGTTAGATTTCTAAGGAAATGTTACAACACTGTAACAGTCTATAACCACCCAATCACTTGTAACCTCCTTGCTGATTTTGTTGCCTTCGTGTCGTGAAGGATTTCACTCCTGGATTTCTTTCATGTCCTGTTATGTGAAGAACGCAGGTCACTGTCAGCATATCAGCCCACATACAGTTTACGAATGCCATGAGACCTTGCTTAGGGGCTCCAGATTCAGCCCTCTATGGTCAATCCAGATGTCACTGCCTTGTTGCAAGCTGTAGACAGGGCAGGTTGTGAACCTGTGCAAACAAAACCTTCACTGGGCTACATGTGGGGTGATACCTAGTGAAATTCTGTCAAGTCTAGCCACCTAGTCCTAGTCAAGACTGCAGAAGAGCTATTCCCTTCAGACAGGACTCGGCCTTCAAAGTAATGCTTAGCTGGAATTTACTGGCCTCAAATATTTTGTTCTTATGCAAGTGTGATCCAACAGTGAAAAGCTTTCCCTAACCAAAGCAGTGGAAGCATTGTCTGAGTACAGGCAGCTCTGGTTTCTAAGCAGAAAGCAGAACAAGCAATTGACAATTTAAGCCTGCTGTTTCTAGAATGGGGCCCAATTCACAGAGCTCATGACTAAATTTGAATCATGATCCACCCCTGTATTCATCAGGGCTCAGATCCCATTTTCCATCTTGGGGGAGGTAACTCTAACTGTTCCCTCTTCCCAGTGGCTCCAGCTTTGCCTTTGACATCTCCTCCCCTGCTGGATCATGTTGCATGTGAGCGGCTCACACAAGGCAGCACTCTGCTGTTACCATGGCCACTGACCAGCTGAGATTAGTGAGAATATTATCAAACAGCTCTGCAGAAGGTCTTAATTCATAAGTATTCATATTCTTTGCTCTTTATGAGAGAGGAACCTGAACCAAATGTCCATAACCTGACTACTCTGGCACTTCTGATACTTTTGAGATCCAGATTTGGATCTAAACTTTGCAGCCCTAGTCTTCCTTTTACAAAATCACAGACACCAGGACATGCCTAGCAGCGCCTTTGCAATCAGACTGATTTTGCCAGGAACACTCAGCCAGGATCTGTTCTGTTGAGTTTAGAAATAGTTGCCCTTTTCAGAAATTCCTCTTTATCTGAACGATGTAACCCTTTTATTTTTGTCTCTCTCTAGGCAGTCGAGGGTGACTGTGATGTCAAGATGCAGAGGTTGGATGGAAAGTTATCTGTACTTGCTAGTAAATGCCACTCACATGCAGGTAAAGACTGTTCTTTAGGTTTGAACCTAGAGGCTAGAGTATTACTATAGCACTGGTTACAGCTCACTAGCTTTTCTGATTCTAAAATGCTGTGTATAAAAATGTCATAAAGGATAACAGTTAATGAGTTTTCCAAACCCAGATGTTTTGAAAGTGACTTTTTCCCCTTTTCTCATTTCATTCACTTACAAACCCAGCCCTGTCTCTTTGCTTCTCTTCATTATGACAATTAAGATACTCTATCTGGGGAGCAAGTTCCAGATTTGACCTAGAGATTGCTGGTACCAAGGCTTTTCACTCAGGAGTTTAGTCGCAAGAATCTGATTCCTTATTGGTCTGAATTTACTAGAGCTTGTTGATCTTCAGAACCCATTTGCCAGATGCACCTTGTTTACTAAACCCAGCATTTTCAATATTGCCATGGGAAAGCAGAATCTGTATTCTGCATACTCTGTACAAGATCTCTTTGCTCTGTACGAGATGTCTTCAGTACTACTTTCAAAACTGGTGAGTGAATGAAACAACACACGCAAACACAATTTCAGTAAATTAAAATGTCTTAATTTTTCCACCATTCCTTGAGTGAGCTGAGACATCTTTTCATTGGTGTCATGTATAGTTTGCCAGAAAGAGAATTGATTAAAACCTGAGTAAGGACATTCAAAATATGCTACTGAAGTCCACAGCACTTTTGCTTGCAGAAAGACTTGACTGGCAAAAGTCGTGTGAAATACTGCCATCTGTAGTCTGTACTGCAAAAATTCCTACCACTATAATTTGGGACAGACCATGAAACAGTGGTTGAACAGGTCTATAATGCCGTTCAAAAGAACCTACAATCTGGTTGAAACATAATCTGTTTGGTTCCTCCTGCAGACTCAAGTGAAGATGTTCTCCAAGTCTGCCCTGACTGTCCACTTCTGGAAAGGTTGAATAACACTGAGGTATTAGCAACTGTTACAGCTGCACTCAATGACCACAACAGCAAAACTGCTGATGCTTACCTCAGACTCCTTGAGATTGGAAGAGCCAGAATACAGGTAATTGCTAGAACAATGTCTAGTTTTCCATGTAAACAGAATATTTCTTCTGTGGTAATTGTGCAGTGCTAGCTAGTTTTGTTTGCAAACAGATTTAGCTTGCTCAAATTTGCCCTACTGAATTGCTCTTGATTTCCCAAGCATTTTGTGTCATTTTAGCCATAGGATTCCCTTTCACTTCAGTTGGAGATGCAGAGCTAGAAGCCACGACATTTGCCTTTTATCTGTATTCAGCAGCTCTGCAGTTTCACAGTGCAAAGTCAGTTAAATAATTTTCCTGTTTTATCAGTATCACCCAGTGCACGTTGTTTCTGTTGAGTTTGCTGTGGCTGCCACAAACTGCTCAGCAAAAGAAGCTAAAGATAATGTGGAGGCTTGTCAACTGCTGCCTGACGATCAGTCGGTAAGTATGCCAGCACATCAGTCCTGATCTCGACAGCACAGAGGTAGAAATCCAGCATGCTGTGATGTGCTCACACTTGTGCAGGAATAGACCTTTGTGAGGATGAAAGTGCAAAAGATGTATACCATCATGATATGATTTTCAATATATAATTCCTAAAGCTCTATCACACCTTTCTCTTCCCTCTGAGGTATCTGGACTGAATCCTGATATATTTGAATATACTTCAAAAAGCCTCGAGGACCAAAGTGTCCGTTACACAAAATATTTTTAATCAACAGAATATATATTATTATTTACTCTTCTTAGCTTGAGCACCTGAGAAAATCAGGCTCTTTGTACTGGACAGTACACAAACACATAACAAAAGGGCAGACTGTTTTACCTTCCTACAATTTAAGTGCTGTCAGTGTGTTTTGTTCTGATATATAGGCTCTTGAGAATTATACTGTACGCTTTATCATGCTAAAATTCTTCATCTGTTTCTGATGAAATGGAGTCCTAGGCAGTTTTAGTGGGTGTGAACCTTTTACCTAGTTTCCTATATATCCTCTTTCTCCCTCATATCCAGACATACAAAGCATCTCACTCTAGAAGAATACAGGAGTTTCACTTATTTGATGGTTATGCATTTAAACAGCTTGGCTTTTGAGTCCAACAGACTAAAAAGCAAGCGCTTTACTGCTCAGATAAAACATGAGAAGATGTAGTTATTTCTAAATGCACTGAAATTAACTTTTTTCTCTTGATTATGTTCTGCTTTGCCAGAATTTTGGTTTCTGCACAGCAACAATGGTAACACGCCCCTCACAGGACCTCAGAGTGGACTGCCAGCTCTATGGACATCAGGTACCAACTCCAGATATTCCTTTCCTTCCCAGAGTATTCTAGCCTACTAGCACTGTTAGAAGCAATCACCTTTAGTTTACCTCTTTCATTGTAGACTGCATTAGCTATCTGTGATAACTTAAGTTTAACTCCGCATCCTAAAAGCCAAGGTAAGGTAGCTCCTGATTATCCTATGGATTTCTGTGCCAGGAACTGTGTCACCTCTGTCATCTATGCTTGACACAGTTTGTCCTCGTAACTATCTGGGAGCTTCACATGTCTGGTAGGGCAAAGGGAACCCACTCTGCTTAGCTAGGGGGATGAGGCAAGTAGATGTAAAACATAACTGAGTCATTGTGGCAGATGCAATCAGCTGGGGCTTGCTGCTAGTAGTCCTTCGACATGACTAAATTCAGGGAGCCTGACCTGCACTGCTATAGCAAGCGAAGGAAAATATACGTGCACTGGTCCTGAATGCTCTCCAGGTATTCTAGCCTCCATTTGGTCTGAGAAGGGCTAGGTGGTGGCTGAATGCTTCCTGTAGACCAGAGCTCTTGGTAACACAATAGTAATTAGCTGTTTAGGAGGTATATGAAAGAAAGAATAAGATGGCTGGTCTTGAATGTTTTGCCAGCTGCAGTGGGGGGCCTGAATGTTCACATAGAATTTGGTGCTAATGATCCACTGGATATTAAAAATGTGTTCCTGCACTCACTCCTCTGTATGCATTCAAATGCAAATTAAACTTTTGTGATGGTCAGGAACATTTTGTACCTGGGTTGGAGGCCTATATCTAGTTAGGAGCAGGGTACCTAGTAAGATACCAATATCCTGTATATTGTAAGCCCCAAGTCACTGAACAAAAACACAAACTGTTTTTCTTTTCCAGCCTGGAGTTACCTACTCTCAACCAGGTCAAGATACATCAGCAGGACTGGTGCCCAGTGTTGTACAAGGCTTCACAAACCATAATCTCAGGCTTTCTCACAATAACCCTGTTGCATCTGAATCCAGCTCTTCAGAATTTCCTACTTCCGTGCTCTCAGCAAAATCTGTAGCAAAGAGAGCAGTTGCAGAGGTTGCTCAGCATGACAAAGTAGCTCGCCCAGTTGGCTTTGTGCCTCCTCCTCCTCCATGCCCTGGGAAGATTCGTCATTTCAAGATATAGGCTGTGTTACTGACATGGCAATACAGTGAACTAAAGGATTAGTGTGTAGCAGCAGAATCAACATACAGAACACAAGATCAAGTGAAAATAGGTGAGAACACTTGACTGTGAGCCCAAATGAGTTTTACCATCCAGAGAGCAGAGCTGTGACCAGGATCTTGCAAAGGCCTGCTTCAAAATATAGGTGATTACAACACAGAGCAGTTGTTTTCTCTACATACAGGGATGCTCTGGTTAAAATACAGAAAATATTGTTTCAATGAAACTGTTGTAAGACCTATACAACAGTTGTAGCTTTGTGATAGAAACACCACCAGAAAGGTTACTTCACAATAAAATGTTCAACAGAAATGCTTTGGTACCTTCTATCTGTATATATTTTCACTTAGTTGTCAAGTATCTCCTTCACAGCATTATGAGTCATATTCTGGGCTTGACTTCAAAAACAGTAAGCTCCTGCACTTCTCATCAGCTTCACTGGGATGTGTGGGTGCTGAGCACTGCGGAAAATCAGGTCCGTCCTTTCTTTTGATCACACACCAATAACATTGAAGAAGTGGCAGGAAAAAAAGTCTTTTTCCCTTCCACCTGTAGTGTTTCCTAGCATGTACCTACTTTTAATATCCACCAGAAGTACCTCAATACTTTTGGACATAGCATAAGAGCATGCATGTCTATGAAAAGAACAAAGAATCAGGACACATTCATTGCTGTGCAGTGTCAATTCTTCCAGCCAAACACATGTCTATTCGCTGTCTTCCAGCAGATACACAGGTGCAGTATGATCACAGAGTACTGTATGGCCTGTGTGCATATGAGGGAATACCAATTCAAGGGAATAAAAATATACTACAGACATGTGTCTCCTATAATAGGACCCAGACAGTGATGGCAATTTACCATTGTCCTAGCAGTCAAATCTTCCCTGAATTTCTGACACATGTTAGAGGCAAAATCTATTCTAGGTAGAGAAGTAATAAGGGACAGGGGCCAGAAGGATCTTTACTGCCAGCCAGACTGGAATTCTGCAGTCCCGGGGGAGCAGTCTAAAAGACAGTTATGAATCTTTAACCAGGAACAGCACTTGCTACAAGATAATTATCATGCAGGCAGAAAAAGCTGCAGAACACATGTCATTTCTGAACTGTTTCAAATAACCTACCCTGTTCTCCTGGTTACAACCTTCCAGTATTCAGTAAGCAACACAACTAACATTTGTTCTTGGTGACAGTGCAACAGGTTGCTGTACAGAAAGGTTCTGCTCTGCTGTGTCAATGGGGAAAGGAAAAGACAGAGGCACTTGCTTCAACTGGATGTGTGGAAGGGAAAGAAAAAGGGAAATCAGCCCAAACTCTATAAGCCATAGTGCAATGTGATGGCAACACACTGCTGACATGCTCTTTCCCTGAAGGCAACAGCTCTCATGTTTCAAAAATATGCTGAGTTCTTGCAGGAAGTGTGTTGCAGGCAATTGCACAAGCTACTACCAGTCAATTGCTGGTGACTTTTTCCTTCTCTGTAAAGCAGTGACTCCAGTATGTTCTGTGTGCAGCCATTCATTCAAAAAGCACTAGCACTAAGCTGTAGAAATTTCTTGAAGTGGCAAGGCAGGTGGTCCTCCCATCCTGCTGCACGAGATGCAGTACAGGATTTAATGAAATGGCTACTATTATGATCTGTATTTCTATAACAACGGATATATGAGACTGAATTTTTACCTTGCCTGGACCCATTAGTTTTCCTAGCTTCTTCTATTTTTAAAATTAGGAATTGCCTTAACTAAACCATACAAATTGTCTTTTATACAATGAAGTGGGTGCTAAATTATAGAAGAGATGGTGTTTTCCAGGTTTAGAAAATTCTCTATCTGATGGAAGAAACAAGTATGTTTGTAGAAGGGATCCCTGCCCATGGGGATCTCTGAACTCCAGAAATTATGCATTTTCTTGTTGCCTTTTCCAACCACAGAAAGCAAGGATATGTAGCAGAACATCTGCAGCCTCCACACTTCATAGATGTTCTCCTACACATGGTGTAATTAACCCACTGTTTCCTAAAACAGGGAGGGGGAAAAAAAACCAAACAAACAAACAACAAAACACACAGACAAAAAAAAAGGAAGAATTGTTCTGTGCATTCCAGCTAGCAGCTGCACCTCATCTTCTTTCTCCTTAACACTTTCCCTCTTAAGGACACATTTTGCTGTCTTAAAGATACATTTTCCATGACTGCTTTGAAGCAGTCACTTTGTCTCCCCTAGTATGGCCCTGTATTCACACACCTGGACCTTAGTAACAGATTCAGTATTTAGTAATAGATTCTCTGGGCAATGAGTGCCACAAAATGGCAGTACATAAAATACAAATACCTCCTTCCCTGAAATGCAGCATGAATAGTTTTGCCAGGTCTGCATCACTGGCTGACAATGTTTTTCATTTTTTTCAAACCCTGTTTTGCTAAAGCATATGTACTTCATGTGCTGCTTTGGCTGGACATGCTCAGACTTCCCAGCTGTGTCCATGTTTTGAGGTCAGCTACTTCAACTGAGAAATTTTTTCCTCTCCAGTGGAAGGATGAGTACAAAGAACAGAGTCAGGGATATAACAATTCCCCATTATAAGAGGCACTGACACAGCCAGTACTAACTGGCACCCATCTCCATAGAAATGCCATGTACTGTAAGGATAAAGAAAATGAGTTATTATCCTTTAGCCACAGGGGAAGCATCCCCAGGCACAAGGAACAATGTTAGCCAGTCTGCATTGCTGCTTTTGCTGTTCCTGTACTATGGCTACAGCAGCATTTCTCAACATTCATCCCTTGTACCCCTTCCCTCCAGGATACAGTCCGTACATTACCCCTCACCCCGAGTTTGCAAAGTGACTGGCAATACACAAAGTGGCTCAGTCTAGCTGCCATGTGCCCCTTCTGTCCTGCTATCTGAGTTTTCCACCTCGGCCACCAACCAAAGTCTTATTAGAAGAGTTTCAGTCCCAGTGCTGTTGCAGGACTTCCTGGCTGTATGTATAATTCCACCCAGCTTTCTGTGGATATTCCCTGGGACGGGTTCTCCTGTCTCCCAGAGGAACATGCTTTGAGCAGTGCTGGGCTAAAGAGCTGAGATCCTTTATACCATCAGTAAAAAAATGTGACAATACATAAAATTTTAAAAACCCCAACCTTTACAGTAGTATTAAATAGAGTTTTCCCCACTTGCCCTTTGCTTTCCTCACTCAATACAGGGGAAACCCTCAAACCTAAAGGTACTCGGTGTCATCCAGCAGGTAGCAGTGATCACAGAGAATCCCATGACAGAAAATGAGGGCCAGGGAAACGGTTACCCAGCTTCTGGTATCCTTCAAGGTGAAATACTGCAGAATTGCCCCTTGGTAGAAAACCAGTTACTTCCACTCGGATCCTCCCCAAGTAATGGTGGTTGTCACTTCTCTGGATTTTCAAGATGACAGTTATTTGTGCAGCAATTCCACCCTGTCTCCAGCATGGAGTTCCTGACAGGTTAGACACAAGGCACACAGCTGTCATTTCAAACTAAAGTTTCTCCAGTCAGAATTTCCCACGACTCTCTTTTATGTGTACTCAGCAAATCACTCAAGAATCAGTAGTGACCACAGTGCAGTCTCTTAGCTGGCCAATCAACCTCCACATTCAGCAGTGAGGGGATCAAAGGTACAAATAAACCTGCTCATCTTAGTGTGTGCTCTGTGATACTATGGGGGGAGCAGCTGAGTCAGTGAGCGGCTCCCCCCCGAGTCACCATCTCCATCATCTCTAGTCACATCAGGATTGTATTATATTCAGAGACAATAATGTTGCTGAAAAGGAATGAAAGCAGAGCAATGAGTAGTGCTAAAATAATTAAAACAGTGACATTGTTGAACCAATTTTCTTTGTTCCTCAAGCCTATAGCCACAAGTTTATGATTCTCCTGGGGCCTCTTACAATCTAGACTGGGTTAGGCTGTGGCAGTGGTTAAAGCAGCCAAGGAGCTAAAGATTAAGCAGGTGGGACTCTTTTCCTTGAGCCAATTCTGACCATATAATATAAGGGAGACAATAACACTGAACAAGATAGAAAACTAATGTCCTAAATCATCTGGCCAAGAGACAATTACGGGATAAGTAGCTGCAGTTCACAGAGAAGTCTGGACTAAATCAGGAGAACTATGCAAGGTGATGTGAACTGGCAAAGAAACAATTGGATGTACATTTTCCTTGATTCGAAGTACAAAAAGAATAATCTATGGGCAAAAAAAAAAAAGAGCAAGAAGTGACACAAGGAGGAAGGCACTGGCTACAAGAAATCAAATGAATGCAGTTCACCCTCCAGTTTATGTTACATGCTCTCCTTTCTTTAAAAAGCTCTTCTTGCTAGATTCTCCACTTCAAACCTTTGGCACTGAGACGAGTGTAATCAGCCCCAGGTCTGTAACTTTCTTACAGGCCACCTTCCTCTCCCTTCCCTTCTCAGCATGTAATTTCAGATGGTTCATATTTCATCACTAGGTTTGGTTCTCAGGCAATAAAAACGCAGCAGCATGTTACAATTAGAAGTAGAGTCCATATGCAACTGTACCTGCCTCTAAACCCACAGGAATATATAGCTAGGCATTGCCAGGCAGGGGTTGAAACCAGGTGCAGACAAAATGTTAAGATGGGAGGAGACAAAAGGAAACAAGACTTGCTCTTTGGCATCAGAAGCAACGTGTAACGATGGCAAGTTCACAGAGTACTTTGCACAATGTGGCAGTGAGAACTAAGTCAGAAGTTGACTTAGGAAATGTTCAGGGCTCAATGAAATCAGAGTGGGGGATCAAATACCTGGTAGGTGTAAATAAATTGAGAGTTTTAGGCAACAAAAGATGAGTGGGCTGAAGTCAAGGCATTGAGATGGAACAAATCCTGAAATGAAGCCTTCAGTAGTCTAAGACCATTCTGATAGCCCTGGTTCACTTATTGTATATTTCCCCCAATTTCTTACAGCAGTTTATTTTGCACCATCCCACCAACAGAAGTGAAATCTTCAGAGTGAGAACAAAATTTATCACATCTATGCCACCATATTCAATTACAGTGAATGTTAAGTCCCAAATAAACACAACAGAAATTTCTGCTTAAAAGGCGACACCACGATGAAACTGTTAATTCTTTACATTGCCTTATTCTCATGCTATCTAAGAGTACTTAATGGCTTCAGGAGGCCATTTATCCACAGACTTCTTGTCCGGACATGGACTGCATTTTGTTGGCTTGGCTTGGGCTAAGGGTTAACATTCATCTGTAGGTATCCAGCTGAATCAAAATGCTCAAAGAATGAATCCAAACTGAGCATTCCGTCCCAAGCAAACTGACTGCATATAACAGAGAGTCAGTATATTTGCTTACAGTTAGCATTTAAGAAATGCAAAGTATAAAATCAGCCAACCGTGGGGCCCTTATCCAGTTCCCATTCAAATTACTGAGACCTTTGTCACTGTCTTATTTGGGAGAAGAACTGGATCACTGACAGAAGAGAGCTGGAGCCAGACCTGTCCTGCTTTATTATTTAATAATTTCTTTATTAAATAAACTTATTTGGATTTTTTTAAGCAATTCTGGTTTCTTAAGAAAGCAGCTTTGCGTGTATATTCTTGTCCTTTGCAATGAGGTCAAAGTTATATGATCTGCCCAATGAAGTCTGAATTGGAGATGTAAAGCCAGAAGGAGAAATTGCTCTCTGGTCTCAGAGGGAGTGACAACACTTTTGTAAAACCTTGTAATCATTGACTTAGTGTTTGCTGTTGCAGCTGTAGATTTAAAGGCGATGGTCAGTATGCAATAAAAAGGGGACACAGGCTTAAAAAGAGACACAGCTCCATTACATTACAATAGCTCCATTACCTGCTATTTCACACAGGTCAGCCCTTCCTTACTGACCTTCCATTCTGATCTGCTGCCCTGGTTTTCTAAGCAGAATGGTTTTACTTGTTTCAGTGCTCTTTGGCATACAGGCGCTTTGCTCCTGGGCTGCCTCTCCTCCTGCCAGAGAAGCACTGACTGCATTGCTTTCTCTACCTGTGATGACACTGCAGTAGAAGAGGCTGCAGATATGGCTCTTCACCAGATCAATGCTGGCCGAAGAGGGCTACATACTCAGTCTCTACCAAATTTTCAGTGTCCGAGAACATCCTCAGGTAAGTTACCTGCTTTTTCTGTATCTGTTTCTCCCATGAAGAGCCTTGTGCCTGTCACTGTTCCTTAGCAATATCTATTTGACCTAAGAAATATTTCAAAAGGCAAATGTAAAGTCACATTCACAGGACTCCAGAGGCCACCATCAACTTTACACACAGATGACTAGAAAAAGTTTCATCACCACTGTGGGCAATTAGAGAGCAAATCTCAGTCACGTTTCTCTGCTCCATGCCCCTGGAATAGCTCCAGGCATCGGTTCAAATTTGGTATGAAACACCACTGCTCTGATTTAATTTCGTTTTACACCTTCCTCTCACTGCCTTGAGCAGTTGGAGTGCAAAGGCTATTAAGTCATTGTGCATTTTGCACAAAAGATGTAAGCACTAACAGGTGTAAACACATCCAGCTTGGGACCAGGGAATTCCTTCACAGACCTCTAAATGATGACTCATTCTCCAGAAGAAATCTGAAACCAGTTCAAGTGCAAAAATTACACTGGAAATACCTATGGAATATAACTCTCATATCCTCAAGTATCTTATTTCTATGTGTGTGCTTAATTTTTTACTATTTTGTGTTACAATAGCTGAATCTTCTGACACTAGACAGGGACAACCTGAAATGAGTGCACAAGGCCCAAAACACATAGAGTACAGTGAAAGCATGCTACTAACATTCCCTGCCATGCTTGCTCACTTCCCATAATTTTACCTGAAAGGCTGGCTCTGAACTCTTAAGGAAAATCAAGCTTATTGCCAGATGTTTAAAGAGCTGTACTGGCAAAGATGTGACACCACTTTCTGCTGCTCTCACAAGGACATAGTTTCTGCAGACATGCTGTGGTCTCCAGCAATCACATCTCATGATTAAAGATGCACACCGTGTTGCACTTTGCATATATTCTCTATATTGCTTTGCTCAGGTGACAGAATGTGCCCACTAAGCAACTGGATCAGGTTGCTTGAGATTTTTTCCACATGGGATACCTCTGAGCTGGCCCAGAACCCACATCACCATTCATGGAGTCAGGTGCTTAGCCCCCTACCCTGGGGTTATTTCCTACTGACAATAATTAGAGCACCCCTGTGACCACACTAGAGCGCAGCACGGTGGGTGCAGGCATGCTGAAAACCACTTAATTCATCTCCCTGCTTTCCCCTTCAGCTGTGCCAAGTATATCTCAGCACAGGAGAATTTTGGACCTTGTTTGTGATTTGATCTGACACTTAATTCCCTAGAAACTTAATTTATTGCCGTAGGGCATACTTAGGTCTTTGTCATTTGGGGGCTTAATTTACTTTTATTCCTATTTTTTTACATCTAATGTGCTTATCCTGTAAATAAGGTGTTTCAAGGCACTGCAATAACAAACTAGACAATCTAAGCCCTTCGTCACATTTTTGCTGCTGCTGGGACTGAGTACATAAGAAGCAGTCAGCTATGTCAGGGATGTTCATGGACAGTAACAACCTTATGCAACCTTCTATTCACCTGAAAAAAAAATTTGTTCATTTATTTCTTTTTTAATCAGTCAGTGGTCTTTCCTCCCATTTTTTTTTAACAATTACTCAGGATAAAAACATTTTCAAAGTTACTTCAAATTCAAACCTGCCCTTAAGCAACCTGTGGTTCAGTTTTGCTCTAATTGAAACTAATGAGCCATCTGCTATTAACTTATCTGCAAGTAGGACAGAGCCTTTCTTTCATACAAGATGCTCATGATTAACTTAACCGACAGACACTTAACTGGAATTACAAAACATGCCAAAATATTTCATTTCTTTCCTTTGCACCAGGTCACCCTGCCACAAAGGTGATGCTGCGTTGCTGCAGCACCTCTTCTGGCTCCCAGGCTCCCCAGCACGCATCGCAGCGGCAATCCTAACATCGGCAGAGCTGAGAAAGGGATCTTCTTGGCAATGCAGAAAAGATAGAAGTTTTTATTCAATACTAAGCAGATATCAAAAGGCCTTTGCATAACGGTCTTTTAATGAAAATTAAAATAAGGATGATGAAACCTTCAGAGATCTGCTGAGCTCTGAATAAAACCCCAAATTATCCTTTCCCCAGCGGAGGATGATACATACAGAAGCAGGTAGACAAAAAGATGTGTAGATTTTATAATAACCTCATCTGCGTAGTAGGGCTGGTATTATACAAGAAAGCTACAGGCAACTGGAAATACAGTTTGGTCCACCCTGGTTGCATTTAGTATTTCCACAATCACCAAGATTTACAATCAGTCTTCTTCAGCTAAGTAAATCCATCTAACATCAAACACATTTGACTATAAGAACATTTGTTTAATGAGATATATATGTGTGCTTTTGTCTCCAGAACACCCAAACAACCAATCTGAAAGCTCAAGTCACCAGTTCCAACTTTGGAACTCCTTAAAGTTACGTTTTTCTTGGCTATTACTTCTTCATGCAGGATAGTGTAAGTGATGCTTTTTCTCATAGAGGAAATATCTGAAGTTACAAACTTATACCAAATGCTGCACTACTCAAAAAATACATTTTCAGCAAATGGCAATGACACTTTGACAAGTATTACCTTCTGTTTACCGATTTAACCTATATCAGCTATCATATTAAGGAGGCGTATCATCATGATATTTAGGTACCTTGTATGTAAACAGAAAATTACAGTTAGTTCCTTCCACTGAAGGATCTGTGCAGCCAGGTATGGAGATACCACCATGCTGCTGTATACAGTGTTGCTGCATCTCAGCTTTACTCCTTGTCAAAACAGCTTCTGATCTTTTCACAGCCTTAAAAACGACACATAATTAAACCTCAGGATTAGTGTAGGCAAACATTGAGAGATGAGTGCAAGGCATTCCCAGATTACTTCTCTGAATACTTAGGGAAAAAAGAGGATATGAAAAGATTTAAAAATGGTATAAACTATGATAAGTTGCATATGTAAGAATATAAATTAGAGACAAAGCTAACAAAACAATTTACTCATTCTTTATATGTATTTTCTATTTATTCTGCTCTTTTATACTTAAAGGGTGTAGTATTGCATTTACAAGCATATATGGTAGAACTCACATAAAATCACCATCCCAGTCTCTTTCCAGGGATCTCTATACTGTATAACCAGAGTAGTTTGTATCACTCAGTCCCCTCAAAACTCCCGAAAATACACTTCTTAGTGTTTTTCCAAGCAGTATAAAAACAAAAAAGCCAGCAGTACTCCAGCCTTTAGATGCCCTGTTGACTGGTCTTTAGTTGTTGTCAAACAGAAATCAAAACTGAAGCCAAAATTGTACAGATACTGGTCCCAGACTTCTACAAGACTCTTGCCTCATAAAGCATTTTCTCCATAAACCAGTGAAATCAAGTAGCTTTGGTTTTATTCCCTCTTCAGCAAAGACATAATCTCAGTCTGAACATGCAGCTAACACCCACATCTAAGTTCTTTAGGATGTACAAATGACAGCTGCTCTTTCTTCCACTACAGAAAATAAAATATGATCCTATTAAGCTGTTTCATTGATAAATATCCTAGGAAGGTGTTTCTATATCTACAGTGGAAGAAGAACCAGGAGCTGCACCATGCAGCAGCTCATCTCTCTGTACTACGCGATGTAATCACCAGATACATGGAACTGCACTTTCAGTCTTTCCCTGTCCCTCTAGCATGGAAGCATGTTTGCCCAAAAGTTGAGCCCTAACTGCTTTGTGCTCCTGTGCTGCAGTGAACTGAGTAAAGGTTTCTGGACTTAAGCACAGGCTCAGAACTCAAGTACTGGACTGAAGCTTTGAGTCAGAAACATCCATGTAGATATGTAAGGTCTCTCATAGCATTCTCTGATATCTGAGAGAATATTTAAGTTGTCTGCATCAACGCAGTCATTGCCTGTTTATGGCAAGTGCAAAGCATCCATACTTGAAGAAGACACTACTCTAAGAAATAAGATATTTCTGCTTCTAATGCCTACTGGGAACATTCCATGTTAGCAGTTTTTTATTATTTGTGCTATTTATTGTCTTATTCCTCCTGAAGGCAAAATAACCCACCTTTCAAATCTAATCATAAAATGCAGCTGACAATGAAAACATCACCATGTTTAGTCCTTATTGTTGGTCCTGGTTCACTCCAGTATCAGAAGGATAAAGCTGACTCTAAAAGGCTGCTCTTTAAGTAAGGCTCGCTAGATGCATGACCAAGCCTGTTCTAACAAGGCTTGAATCTCACCTGATTTGCCACTGTTGAGAATTTGTTCCACAGAATGTTCCGTTTTCAGGATATCTCTCTGTCCCAGCTGTGTGTTTTGTGTTTCTCCATCTCTCTATGTGTCCCTACTTTGTTCTGTACAAAACTGGGATATCACCCTTTCTTTTTTTGTTGTTTTCAGGAGATCACTGGTTCTATCTTCTATCTCATCTTGAAGGTAGTAGATACCAAATGCCACGTACTCAGCAAGAAGTTGGGAAAGAACTGTACATCCAGATCTGCTCATACAACTGCAAGAATTTTATTTTCTTATTTAATCTCATATATGATGAGTTGCTCAGGTACTACTGATTACAGCAAAATCCCTACACATGCAGCTTTAGTAGGTAGCAGAGCTTAGAAGAAATCAAAAGCCATTTTTTAAGGCCCACAGTTTTTCTCTGTATTTCCTAATCAGTTTATAGACTGGTAAGATTTATTTTTAAAAATTAAAATTAAAATAAAGTTTTTGACCAGAGCTAATAAGCAGACATAACTAGATAGCCATGCTAGGACACTAGCATGTTTAAAGACAGTCCTTCAAGAAGGGAATAAAAGAAACTCACTTTTATATAACATGCAATTTTTGGTTTAGTTTAATTCCACTTTTATTCTGACAACTTTGCAAAAATTGTACTGAAAGAGAAGAAAAAAGAAAGCTCAGCAAGATAAGCTGCAAAGACAGAAAGTGATCCAAGACTGTTGCTACAGGTGACCAAACCAATTCTGAACAAGTGAAAAAAACCCCCATATAAAATGAAGAATGATGAGAAAGACACTTCACATAAAAAAAAAAGAAGTTACGATTAAAGTATCCTGGGCTGCTTCTTAGGTCAATCAGTTTTCATTTTTAAATTAAAAACTGGAAAAAAAAAAAAATTCTGCTCACTTCTGGTTACAGCGATTTCAGCAGGAAAAGAGTGCAAAGAATATATGGTCAATATGGCTTCTGCGAAGAAAAGAAATGTATGTGCTGAAGGCCTTGATCATTCAGGTGGCAATATTTAAGAAGCACTCAGAGAATGTAAACACTGAACTTTTAAGCATAAAGTCACAATGGATATCAATAGGCCAGTATTTTTTTCTGCCACGAAGACAGTTTCTTTGTGTGCAAGGGTGATCTTACTGTGCCATAAAACTGATTTGGGGTCTTTCCTACCACTCTCCTTCCTTACTATGGGCATAGGGAGAAGGAGTAAAGTGGAAGACGGGTGACTGGATCCAGACACTCTGAGCTGATCTCCAGATCTACAGGTTTAAGCTCCCTGGGTTCTAGTGCGAGGGCCTGGCCAGGAAAGCACTCTGTGCCACTTGGGCATTTCTTGGCTGCCAGAGGGGTGGCCTCGTGTAGGCCATCCTGCAGAGAAACACTGCACCTGTACAGCGCAGAATTACACTAGGGAAGATCTGGCCTTTTATTTCTAAAGGGGATATTTAGAAATGTGCTTCATTGTCATTTCAGTATTAACACAACTTTTTTCCTGAAAATAATATCATGCCTGCAAGGAGAAAATGAACCACTCACTGTCTAGGTACTAGATGATCAGTGCAAAGGGTGCAATATTAATCGTTTCTGAATGTTTATATTGTTTTAGGTTTACAGTCAATGCAAAGCAATTATCTACATTAATCAGGCAAGAACTATTGCTCATCTGAATACTTACGAGTGCATTTTACAACCAGGTATGCCTTTATTTAACACACTTACTTTAAATGAGGACTGGAAAAACGCTCTTTGCCATATAGCATTACTTTAAATTTTAATTGCAATTATGGCACCATAGCGTCTCCGTTAGCTTTCAGCTGCCTTAATTTTCTCAAGTCAGTGATCATAAGGCCAGTGTGGTGCTGCAGCTCAAAGCAGTGCAGTAATAACTGTTTTCAACTCTGGGAAACCCAGCAGAGCCTCTATATGGGCTTTTACCCTCTGGTCCAAAAATCATTTTTATGGGTTTGTGAAAGGCGAGTAAAAACAGCAAGGCCACTGTCAGTAGGCTGAACTTCTTTCTGCAGTGTCTTTGCCTCCACTAAAACATTTTTATCAGCCCGCAAATTCATAAAGATTCAAAATCATTGAGTGAATCAAACCACATACTGTTACTCCAGGGGACTGGAGGACAAGTGGGTAGAGTTGGGGGCATAGATGTATTTTCAGAGACCTACACTATCAACATGCTCTTATGATGATGGCTTTTCTAATGACATCGTTTTGTTTGAACAAAAAGTTCCACCCAGATATATTTGGACTGCCCAGCTGATGACTGTCCAACTGAGCCCAAATATTTGGAGGCTGCTGTTCAAAGCCTTGCCAAGTTCAATGAAGAGAGTGAACAAACTCATTATTTCTCTGTTCTCAATGTCACAAGAGCTTCAATGCAGGTAAGCCAAGGCTCATCTGACTCATTTCAGCCCTCAAGAAGTATAGATTCACCTGTTTCACTTTATATGATTTGTTATGTCTTACAGATTGTTTATAATTTGTATGTGTATAGTACAGGGAATATTTCTATGCAGAATTCTCCTGGGAAATGAAGATCTGCATTGATCCAAGACTTTGACTCCATTTATTGCAAAAAGAAGGGCTTTATGCAACACTCAAGACACAGATTTGCATTCCAAAGTTTAGGAAAGCTTCACTGTGAGCTCTTTTTTCTGCTACCACCATGAATTAGTGACTCCCTAGTAGAAAATATTTAATAAAGCACATTCATCCCTTCCAACACATACCTATAATTCACTGAATTTGTTTAAAAATGGTTTGAAACTAATTTTAGGCTAACAGAGAGTTAATGATCTCCTGGCTAAATCCTGTTTGTTTAACACAGTAATATCCAGTCTATCTCAAATTCATTATGTATAGATAACAAGGTGGTTTTCACTCTTTGTCTCAAACTGTTAGAAAATACTACAATACAGTATTTAATGACTCTCATTTTCCAACGCTAAGGTACTTGCATTTCAGGGATAGAAAAAGTGATCCTGTTCATTAAAGCAGACAGAAATTATCAACAAAGCGCTGAAGAGGTCTTTGGATATGTAGTTCTATGTGGATGCTAACTTATTACAAAACCCAAACTCATTTCAACTACAGCTAATCCATGAGTTACTAAGACTGTGCATATATAAGAAGTAAAAAATAACCAGGCAATAAGGCAGCACTGGCAAAAAATAATTTTCCTGTAATACAACTAACAGTAATGCCCCAAGTATAACCTGCTCCTTCCACACTTAGCAGAAGTTTTACATCTATCTCAAGGTCTGTAGGATTCTCCTTTCTTCCTGACACATGTGGAAGGTCTAACTGTCACTGGTCTCTCATTAACAGTGGGTCATTGGTCCTGCATATTTTGTAGAGTTTTTAATCCAGGAGACATTCTGCTCCAAAAATGACACAATTGCTGACATCTCCAAGTGCAAGTTACTTCCATTAGAACTAGCTGTAAGTACTTTTCCTTGTATGAACACCTATTTCTCAGATATTATGATTCCTCAATGAATACTTAGCCTATCCCTTGGTTCTTAACAGGCAAGAATCAAAGCCCACAGGTGTCTTTTTACAGGTTGTAGCTCTACACCGTCTTGTAACTGTACAAACTGCTTTAGAACAGAGAATACATTTCAGTAAAAGTTCTGAATTCTTGCCTAGAAGTCCACGAACAAAGAAAACAGAAAAAAATACCATCCAGAGAAAGGTGGGGTAGCCTTCATCTTACAAAACTGAATTATTCTTAAGGATTTCTTCCAAGTAAACAGACATAGACAATAAAGCACAAACCATGCATAAGGACTATATTCATACGACAATCAGGTCAGCTAAGGAAAACATTTAGGAACTAAGGAAAAAGTTATAAGGTAATTTGAAAGACTAAATGGGCATGCTGCCAAGAGATAACATTTCAAGCCTCATCTTAACTGAGATCCAAGCCATGTTACCTACAGCCCAATAAAAACTCAACTATCAGAAACAACATTTTTTCATGGCTTCTTTCACTAGTATGGTATGAAATTGGTTTTGCCTGAAAATTTAAATTATGTTCTATTACACAACTTGCCTGCATGGGAAATTTCTGCTGCAGCAGAACTTCAGTGTGCTGTTGTAGTTGGGCCTTAAGTGGCCTACTTATTTTTACTATCATGTTACCCAACCCTCTTTTGCAGACATAAAGCCTTTTTCAAAATGCTGCCTGCGTTTGTAAGCTTGCCAATCCCCAAATAAAAGTTTATCCAAGCTGCTTATCCCTACAAATACATGTAGAAGCTATAACTATTCAGCCTCTCATAATCACTCATTTTACAAGATAGGAGCTAAGTAGCAGTGCTACAATGTGGAAAAAAAATGCTTGCATTTTCTTCTTCCAGCAAATAGGTTTCTGCAAGGGCTCTGTAGTAAACAGTCAATTGGAACATAAACGGCTTGTCACAATATCCTGTGAAATCTACAGTCTGCAGGTATTTGTTAATCTAATCTTAATATTGCAAGAGTAGTAGTCCTTTACAAAACAAGAAGTGAACTCTTGAAAGCCCAGCCATTTTTAAGTTTTCTTATTCACAAAGATATGAGCTTCAAGAAAGCAATGAGGCCAAATCAGGAAGAAATCTCTCTTGTGATAAAACAGAGTGTTGCTAGGTGGATAAAAAGGCAACAGAGTAAGTACAGAGTCAATCATCCAGAATATGCTCAGAATGCCCTACAAAGAAATTGTAAATAACACAGGCAACGCAAAGAGCAATAGCTGTGTAGTTACTCAAGTTTCATGCACCCACCTCCACTAGCATAAGAAGTAGTTCCATCTGTCTATACTTTGAGCTTCTGTTCTGCAGCCGGTCTTTGCAGACTGGAATTGCAGGAGAGCCTTAGTGCAAAAGGAGACCTTCTTTATATCTGAAAGAATTTGGAATAGCTTCAATATAGGTAATGCTTATTGCCTGTTATTTAGGATCCTGCCACTGAAGAGGGGAAACATCAAGCTAATCAGACACCTGGAAAATCCAGCCAGAATCATCAACAAGCTTTACCTTCAGAAACCAATCCTTTCTCCCCATACCTAGAAAAAACAGTGGACTTGGTTAAAATTATACCCCCTTTAACTGAGGACATCTCTTTCCAAAACCTATCGGAAGGTCAAAATGAACACAAAGATGGAAAGCCAGTTCCACCTGAGGCTGTAGGATCTATGCCCAGTCTTGATGGTGTAAAGACTCAGGTTGACAAAGCAGACTTGATCAAACCAGTCACCAGACCAATTACTCTCCCTTTTCCTGAAGAACTTTCTCTATCAGACTCATGCCCAAGAGAAGCAAAGGTGATAAATTCCATCCTCCAGACTTTGTTGCCAAAGAGTAGCCAGCGTCCAATCATCTCAACTACCTGCAACAAAATAACCGCCACAATGGCAACCTGGTCTTTCAATTTGTGTAACATCTTTAAATAAGTAAATTGGTTATTACAATCATCATCTTTGGAGTTCTCAGTTTTAAGAAAGCACAGGAATAGATTAGAAGAAGAAATTTAACTGGGGCATTTTCCGGCAAAAGAATTTGGCTTTTAATTCTCAAATTCCTGCAATTAGTAAAAGCATAAAGGAAAGGTAACTGTGGGGGGTAAAAGAATTTGCAGGGCCCAGACAGCCCAAAGGCATCAGAAAAACCATCCTCAGTAGGAATTGTCTTTCAGGGCACAGTGTGGGATGGCTGCTCCCCAACGTATGGTGAGATGGAGCTGAGCATGATAAGCAGGCTGGCAGGGCAGGGGCCTGTCCCATGGTACCTGAGCGGGGCGAGCCGAGCAGACCCGGGGATTACAGTCAGGTTACAGGGAGACGCCAGATCACCACGTTAGTTCATGGGCGATGAGGCAGGCCTGAGGTCAAGCCAGGAACGGGAGCTAGCGAGTCAAGGTCAGGATCTGGTCTGGCTGTGGTAACCAGAGTCACACACAGCCCAGCGGTCTCCAAACAAGTCCACGGTGGCAAGGCAGGTCTGAGGTCAGGCCAGGAAGAAAGGCTGCAGGTCTGAATCTGGGTCTGGATCAACAGGGTCCATGGCCAGGCATGGGCACAGCTGCGATGCAGCAGGAGCCGACGCTCAGGCTGGGGCCAGAGTGCTACAGCCTCAGCCCAAAGCAGCTCCTGTGGGAAGTGGGGTTGGGTCGGCCCTGGCCGTGGCCTCCCCGCGGCCCCGCCTGGGAGCCTGTCCCCAAGGCCACCGAGGGGAAGGGGAACAGCCCCAGCTGTGCCGGCGCTGAGGTGGCCCCGAGCCCCGGCAGCCGGGCCTCCGGGCGCGGGGATGCTCTCAGAGCCCTCACAGAGTCACACCCGGCATAACGGTGTATGAACAGGGGAGAGGACTTCAACACTGGTTAGCATTAAAAACTAGTGGGTTATTATTTTATGGGTGAACTTCTTAATTATAATGTGATGAGCTTAGCCTATTTTTTAATTTCCCCTGGAAGATCTCAAGAAAGATTAATTTTTTCCTAATGTTTTATGCCCTCACTTAAAGAAAGTGGAAAAGGCTACCCATGTATGAAACCTCTGCACATAATTCTGGCTGGTAGTGAATCAAGCCCATGCTATTCAGATTCTTATGTTTTACTGACCCTGCTGTGCAGGAAAAATGATCATTTACAAAATCAGCCTAATTCTTTCTTGAGATAGGTCATATTAACTGCCTTATAATGAAAACCACAGGGACACTCTATAGCCTGTAGCTAGGAAAAATCAATTTCACTAAAGCCAGACATAGCAACTGTACTGACAATAACAAATATAAATAAATGAGAAGAGAAGAAAAAGAAAAAGAGTGAACACAGGAAAGAAATGTCATTGTGGCCAGGAGTACACTGATATTTGCAGTAATTATGGGGTCCGTTGCTACCAGATCTGTAAAATCATTTGTTCAAAACAAAATCAATAAAATATTATTGTTTCTGAAGCTTCTATGGTGCTGAATCATCCCTAGAGATGCTGGATAATTTCTCCATTCAAAGAGCCTTTCAACAAAAAATTACAGTTTTTATTAAAGTATTCTGGCATTATGCAATTTGATTAAAATGTATTCTTTTATAGTATTATAAATAAAATATAAATAAAAGTATTATTTTTTTTTGAGTGGAGACAAAATAACATTGAAATACTTTATGGACTTATGTTCACAACAAATATGTTTAGTTTTTCAGTTTGCAAAACTCTTAAAAACATAATTTTTTTATAAAGGAGTCATTTAATTGCTTCGAAGATTAAAATAAGCCAAAAAGTGATGTGTGAAACACATCAACTGAGCCAAAAATAATTCCATTTCAATTCCACATCATGAGAAATTTCAACATATTTTGGTTTCATTCATATCAGAGTAGAAAACAATTCAAAATCAGGTAGTTTGCCAAAAATTGTAAAATTCAAATTCTATCCAATTCTTTTTGCAGTATGAGCTCCAGACTGTGTCAGCATTCTCCTTTTTTATCAAGTCATCAAATTCCAGCATCTTGTTTTTCCCTCAGGAAGTTTCACCTTTGCCAGCTCAGGTTTCCCTAACATGACCAGTGTGTTCTACCTCCCTGCACAGGAACTGCTGATTTGCCACGTGCCGAAATTGGGACACGAGGCGTCACCCCATGCCCACACGGAGGGCACTGTTGGTTTTAGTGAGCCAGAGGACAAGAGCATTGGGGCAACAGCCTGTCACACTTCAGTGATTTTCAAAATGCTTTTTTCACCCCTCTTTTCAGTTAATTCCCATTCTTCTCACGTCTGCTATTTTATAATGCAGTCTATTTTACTGTTTGCATGTTGATTCTAATTTCACTGTAGCTCCATCAGTTTAATGATACTATTGAGATTTATATCAATATATGTAACCAGATTCTTCCCTGAAAGGAGTACTGGTGAAGAAATCATCTTTGTTAACCGCTGGCCACAGCCAAGAATACCCTGTTTCCCCTAGTTCTCTTTCTTGACTACAGCTGCTTATAACAGTAAATTCAACAAGAACAGCAGCAAGTGAACATAAATGGAGTGGAGTTGGTGCGAACACAAACAGGGGGAGTTAAAGAGAACATCTGAAAGTCTGGAGCCACAGTTTTGAGCATTCAATTTGGATATTGTTTAGCCTGATCCGCAAACAACGTTCAGAAATGACATTTGAATCAATACTTTCTCTAGCTTCGATCTGAGATTTGGGTTCAAAGACTTCTGTGTTTTAAAAATAAATACCAGAAGAGGTGTTTATCTAAGCAGCAACTGTACCTACAGCGCAGATCAGCAAGCAGTGGTCAGTGCAGATTCATGGACATTTCTTTTATTTGCTGTGGCCGCTCCAGCAGAGTAATTCCTGTACCCAGCTTTCAGTGTCACCTAGGCCACCACTAATGTTTACCATAATTGAGGCCTGGTACTAATGTCCAAGACTAATCTCTTGAACTACAAGTAGGAGACTGAAGATACATAGTTTCTGTGTTTCCTTTCTCCTCAGGATGTACCTGGATACTGCCACACTCCCAGATGGCATTGATATGATTAACAGCTAATAACATCTAGTCATCACTACTTCAAACCCTGCTGCTGATTCAGCAGATTTATGCCAATCTGTGAGTGGGCCAGCACTGTGGCTTTCTCCCTCCAACATGCTCACGTGGACAGGTAAGGGCACTGGATGCAATGCATCTGATGTCCACACGTGTACTCTATGTGACAGCATGATCAGACAGGACTGCAGCAAATCCTCTAAAGTACATGTCCAAATACTGGCCTGGTCTCTCACCTTCTAGCCAAACTGAGCAAAACAGCTGGCAGTAACACACCCTATGTACCTTCAGTCGCACCCCAAATGCTCTCTTCTCCTCCAAGCACTGTGAACTGTTAAGCACGGCTTCTCCTTGTCCAGTGGAGAACAGGCCAGTTACACACAGAAGCCTTCCATCCAGCTACTGGAGATGAGAAGTGGGTGGATTTTGACAGACAATTCCCAATTCACTTTTCAATTTCATTTCACTTTTTTAACACTTATTGATCTTATGATATCATATCATCCATTATTAACTTCTATCTGGGCAATGTCCAGCTAAAATCTGGTCTGATGTTTATCTAAACAAACATTCCAGTTTCACATGGACAATCTTTTTTATTCAGGCACAAATAACTAATGGTCAGTGACCTCCAGGACAGTTGACCTTTTTACCACATATTATCAAGCCTTTATCTCTGAATATCATGAATGCAAAAAAAAAAAAAAAAAAAAAAAAAAAAAGACACAATAACATTCAAAGGGTACAGAATAAAATATGCTGTCTTATTTATGCATACACCAGCTATGCATTTGTTTATTCGCCATCCTACACTCGTCTTTGGCCAATCAAAAAGATTTTAAAAAGCAAGGCCCAGACATCAAAGTTCTTGAGATAGGTTTAGAAATAAAAGTTTTTATAAAGTGAGTTAATTATGAATGCTATTTGTCTGGCTTCAGAACCTGCCCATTGTATACACTTCATGGTTAAACATTTTCTTCTCTGAGATTATACATGTTAAGCAGCTGTATTCAGAATATACATACATTATTTTGAATTCAAAGGTAGATTTTAAAGACCTCCCACTAGATATAATCATAAATACTATACAATCACAACAGTTGTCAGTACTTCCCTGATGTTAACCTACAACTTATAAGCATGAGTTAAACCCTAAAGAACAGTATAATGCCACAAGCCATGAAAAAGTCAAAACCCTTGGAACATCCTCTGACTGCATTAACATCAAATTCTTAACCCCACCTTTTCCCCAGCCTCTCAAGCCCCTCAGCAAACAGGTCAGTCTTGCAACATATCCTTAAGGTCATCAGCTTACAATTAGGATGGTTTGTTCTAGAAAGCAATTTGAAGCCAAAGACACTGAGGACAAGACAAGGAATACTGACGTCCTTTTTATTCCTTGTATTAGTTCTTGAGGTCTCCTAAGCAACGAGACTTCCGTAACTACATTGTCAACCTGCTCACCTGACAGTTGGTCTCCTCCAAATAGCTTTCGAACTTAAGATCTATTTGAATTAAGTTTGATAGACAAGGTGATGAAGTTTCGAAAAGTTTGATAAAAAACTCAAGACTGGTAAAGAAAAATAAGCTGCAGGCAGGCAGGGGAAGCTACAGCTGCAGCTGCTGCTTTGAAGACCATAACTGAAATAAATTTGTATAATACAGTATTTGCATCAGAGGGCACCCTGTTTACATTCAGCAGATAAAAATGAGACACAAATGAAGACATGACGCATTTACGTATTTTTCCATCATACCTGGGGGCACTTCTGTTAAGTGCAGAGCAATCCCAAAAACTACGAAACTTTTTTTTTTGTTTGCATCAAGGTGTAAAATCAGGTCACCCTTGTCTGAAGCTATGAGTCATCACAGCCTAAAAAAGTAAAGAGAAGCTAGCCAAGAATTCACCTATAAGCAACTGGAGTCACATATGTCTTTGTTAGCTGTACTCTTGCTTAGGAGCACAAACAACAGCAGCTGCAGAGCAGCACAGGCTACAAACCAGATAAGGTCTTGCTACCTGCATAATTGATTGAGCTGTGAGTGAAGTACTGCTGCAGAAGGTAGAGCACAGTCAGATAACGTAGCAGTTGTCCTCCCAAGAAATCAGAGATACCTGATTAATAGTTATAGCTACACTTTAGGAATGGAGTAATTGGTTATTGCATATTATCTCCTTTATTTGTCAGCTCTCTTTTTCTTTTTCCCCTAGAATAAAGTTGTATTTATTAGGCATTTGATAACCTCTTTTTCAAGTGGGGAAGATAAGCCTCTTTTTGGTGTGTCCTCCCAGATTTCTGGAGAGAGGTTTAGGATGGATGTTTATTACCAACTCCTTGAAGTTTGAATGTGGATCACCTCTTACTGTTGCAAGTCAAGCCTTGGTAAAAGTCATAAACAAGCTTTCGATAAGCTAGTCATGAGAAATATCATGTTTATATAAATATTTCTACTTCTGCCAGCAATCTGTTTATAGAAGTAGCTTCACTAAAACAAGGCACAGAACTTACAAGCAATAAATACAAAATAAGTATTAAAAAATATATCAAATTGGATAAGAAATTATAAAAATACACTATACTGATTCAAGTACAACCAATATTTAATTAACTGCTCTGACTGTGCCTGGAGTGCTTGTCCATGCTGTACTTTAATAATAGATTCCAATCTTTCTTTACCAAAGAAATCAAGGACAAAACTCTGTACAGTGGGAACAGAATCTTACTTTTACTTCTGCAGTCAATTTTGCAGGAACTGTACATTTTCTGCTGTTTATTCATAGTGTTTCTATTTCATATATAAAAAATACATAAGCCACTGTCAAGAAAATGATCGGTGTCACAATGAACAGCACAGAACAAAAGGAGAAAAAATCCCCAATCTGCAAACAATAGACAACTAAGGGAATTATGTTATAAATTACCTAATCTGATGCCTTTCTTCAATATGACTGCCCATTTGATAAATTAAACAATATTGTAAGTAATGAATGGGGGTGCAATTTGGAATACAGCAATGATGTGAATATTATTTTTAACTGATGAGATGTATTTCAAAATGCCTTTGATTATTTACACAACATTTATTTCACTGCTTTTTTCAATCTTCCAGAAGAAACTCTGAAATATTATAATGAAACATTATGAAAACATAAACAAAAGAAATGCCCTACTGCATCAGAACAGTGGTTCATCCAGCCCAGTGTTCATCTCTAACAATAGCAAAATACAGTTGTGATTAGGAGAAACATATGACCCACTCCCTCTCTGCAAAACATTCCCCTCGTATTTTTCCAGTACCCAGAATCACGGTACTAGGAATTTTGAAGAGCACTTATCCGCTTAGTCCTTCTAGTATCCACTTAAGGACCTGCTGACCATGAACTTTTCTAAGCAATTTCTGACCCTGCTGATAGTCTGTCTCCACATCTTTCTGCAGCAACAAGTTCCAGAAGTTCACTACTCATTGTGCAGGGACTATTTTTATCCATTTTAAACTGATTCACACTAGTTTTGTGTGCTCCCAGTTCGAATATTGTGAGATTCTCCATTTAGCTTATCTACTACCAGAGAACCGCTAAGTATGTCCTGAACTAACTAGAAAGGAAAGCCACTGCTTCAGCTCTATGAATTTTAAAGTACAATTTCTTAGACACCATACATGCTAGAAGGTGGATTTTTTTTTTTTTTTAATATGGATTAATGAAGTGAGATAAGGGTAAAGGATTGATTATTCATTATATTTCCCAATGTTTCTGACACAGATAAGTCAGAGAAAAACTTCAGTCAAACATGCAAACCCAAGTCATTTATATAGCTAGCACCTTTTTCTATGAGAAGCTGATTCAATCCTTCACGCCAACTAGGTTTTGGAAAATTTCTCACCTGAATCTGACCTTGTCATTTTGGACTCACATTGAATTTTTGTATTTTCTTATTCAGAGTTTGAATTTTGTATTCAAACTTCAGCCACCCCCTGACAAGTGATTACTGCCTTTTTAAGAATGCCTTAAACTATCCTGAATAAAATATTCTGAATATAATGAGACAACATCTCCTTTCTGCTTAGCAGAGGAAATCAGCCTATCCTGTGAAAGGTATGAATCTTAGTATGTTATGAATTATTTTAATACAAAAAATTACCAGCAATTCTCTAAAGAAGTCTCTGAAGGCTACTACACCCACGGAGCACACAAAACTGCTCAGAATGAGAATGCAAAGGCAGCTTTACATCACTTCATGTCATGCCTAGACTACACTGATATTAAGCCAGTCAGTTCCATTCTGTGTACCAGGCCTGAAATGATGTAAAGCTGATAGAAGTCTGCGCTAAATTTTATTGAGCTGGACAAGTAGCAGCGGCTCATAGAAGACACAGACCTCCAGTTTGCAGGTGCACCTTGAGCTACATCCCTTTTCCAAATCTGAGTGACCTCCTTGTTTCCCTTTCACTAGTTCTCTGCTAGGTAAAGATCTGTAAAGACAGTGATATGGATATAGCCTTCATCTAACCACAAATATTTTAGCATATTTTCAGCTCAACTGTTTTTACAGTAATCAGCAAACCAAAATTGCATAATACCTACATACAAAAACTGGACCTTCTTAATGCCAGGCTTAGCAGCACACTGTTAGAAGCTAAGTGTTTTTCATAGTAAAACACTATGCCTGCTTAAAGACTCACGAATACAGCCCCTGTGATGGGTAGTCCAGAGAGTACTATAAGGCCTACTTCCCTCAAAATCTGCTCAATCACTATATAATCATTTACTTGCTGTTTGCAAATGTTAATCCAGGGTCAAGGTAATGGTGCTCTGACACAACACTTAAATTTATATAAAACCATGCCCTTCTAGCATTCATCTATAAATTCAGAGGACTACTCTGATTTAAAAGTAGACTACTGGCTTTATCAGAGCATGGGCAGAAGTGACCTAACACTGCAAACAAAATGCTGCTTCTATCTTCATTTTCTTTTCTAACACTACTACAGTGTTCTAACGCCCAAGACAAAATAAACATTACACCTGCAGACTGTAATACTGTTGAAGCAGATGCAGGAGTGGCCCTTGATTTGGTCAACAGACATCGCAGAGATGGCTATGTTTCTGGTTTATTCCGTGTTGCTGATGCACATGAACTACATATAGTAAGTATCAATTTAAAGGCTGATTTACACAAGACTGTGATTTAAAAATAATTAGCCAGATCATTAAAAGCTTCTGTTTATTGCTTTTAACATAGCAATGTTGATGCAATTCAATGAGTCAGCTCTGATTTACACTATCTCACTATTCATTTGTGCATGATTTATTGTACGTAAGCTTCGTTTCGAATGATGCTGAATGCCTTCTATTCTCTTGGCCAACAGGATGTTGGCGTACGAGATGCTCTGAACAGCTTTATACAACATCGGAAATTAATCTGTCCTGTCTGTTGTCAGGTCTCAGATGTTATGTTCAAAATTTATGTTCAGAGGGTTTCTTTAATCTGCGAATGCCTAACATTAATTAGATCCACATATCCTGCCAGATTGGTATTTTGTTATTAACTTAATTTTGGAGATAGCCAGATAACTCGGTGGAAGGAAAAAAGGCAGAAGAAGCCAAAGGAGATAAAAAATGCCACTCTGCAAAACAGGGGAAGGGCTGTATAGAGAATCCATATCAGTCATTTCCTATTTCCTTCCTAATTTTATTTTTCTTTCCTAAAGAAGATACATAAGCCTTTCTCAATGACTGCCTAAACACCAAAGCAAATCAACTGCAGAAAATGCAATATAATACAATTTTTTTAAAAACTAGTAAATAAAAGAGACCAAGGACATGCAGATTTACTAATGCATCTGGCTACATTTTATCTGCTTGGCTATGAAACTATAATCCAGGCACACGCACTGTTTATGAAGTATATTACACATCTCACTATGGAGCTAGTTTTTGACGGAGCTGCTTGAGACTGCCTGTTAGGACAGGAAAAAGCTCAGAAAGTGACCCAAAGCCCAGATTCCTACACATCTTTAGGTATGTTTTCAAAAAATCTGATGGACTATTTTGCTTCTTGAAGACAAGGATGTGGCAAGTGATATTACCAAGTTTTACACAATGGACAGGTAGTTAAGAACCTCACCTAGGAAGCAATCAGTCTTCTTCAGCACTAAGAGATTTAAACACTCAAGTCTCCCGTCCTTGAATAGTGCTTCTGCCATGCAGCTACATGTGTCCCACCCCCGTGAAGTGGAGCCACTGGGCAGTAAGACATGCAAAATTCATTGGAGGAATGAGAAAAAACATAGCTGTTTATAAAAAGAAAAATCTCAGTGTTTTGACATTTTAACAAATTATTGACTATATAAACTATAGAATCATAACTTGAAATAGGGACCAGAGCTGAGGATTCACACTTCCAGATGAATACTATAAACACTAGACCACCTGTCCTGGCTTTGGCTGGGATGGACTTGATTTTTCTCCTTAGTAGCTAGAATAGTGCTGTGTTTTGGATTCAGTATGGGATATGGTATGAGAAGAATGCTGATAATACGCTGTTTTCCATCACTGCTAATTGATCAAGGACTTTCCAACTCCCATGTCCTGCCTGTGCACAGGTGTATGAGAAGTGGGGAGGGAGCACAGCCAGAGCACTGGACCAATATTAGCCAATGAAATAATCCATATCATGCAACATCATGCTCAGTATATAAAGGAGGGTTGGCCAGGAAGGGGGGAGGGCACTCTCTTGCTTCTGGAAATGCGGTTTTGGGATCTTGGTTCTTCAGGATAGCTAGCCAGGAAAGGGCTGCATATTAGTTGGTGGGTAGTGAGCAGTCATTGTGCATTACCCATTGGTACCATCTATTATTGTTACTGGTTTATTTTACTCCAATTATGAAACTGTTTTTACCTCAACCTACCAGTCTCCCTTACCCCTTCAACTCCCTCCCCCTTGGTGTTTGGCTGCCAGCCAGGTCTAAACCACAACACTACCATGCTTATGTTTTGCTTTGTACCCTTAATGAATTTTGCTGTCTTCGCACTCCAGGGCCGCAACTTCAGCTGTCACACACTCTACAAGAAGAGAAAATACCCTTATATCTATTTCACTGCTAAAGAGTTCTCCCTGTAGGGTCTCTGTACCTTTTCAGAACCAAAGCCACCAGGTGTGGTCTCCTGCATATTGATCACGTACACTATTGTGCAAGAAGTTACATTGGCTCCAGTGCCGAGATGACATTAAAAAAAGAATATATAAAAAAAGAGCAGAACATCATTTGTATTAGCTCGATGCAATCGTGTGCATCGTCTAACACATCCGCCCCCTTAGAAACTGAACCTGAGCAATTCCTAGCAGCCAGATCTCTATTGGGTTCACATGGGACTTCTAGAAGCGTAAGATAGTCAAGTATTCACACTAGAGCAGTTCTGGGCTTGTGCGGTGCAGAACTCTGGTGCCCAAGATGCTTTTAAAACAACCAAGAAGGCCCCATATAAGAGAATTACTGTTTTTCCAAGAGCTATCCAGCAGATGAACAGAGAAATTCTCTACTGCATATTTGGATGTAGACACTTAATTTCACCCAAGCTCTGCTCTAGACTTTATTGAATCCAAATGCATCCTGCTGGACAAAAATATTTGCCTGGGATGAATTGGCTTCTTTAGAATTTCACAAGTTTGGATGACAAAGTGAATGTATTTAGTTACTTCAATTTTAGAGGGCTCCTAGTGAATAGCCCATTTTTCAAAAGACTATCTTACTTTTCCATTCAGTGCAATTCCACAAATACAAATCAGAAAAAAATAGTCTTTCTCATTGTCTGTGTTCTCTTCTCTGTCTGCATTTTACTAATATGTTGACTAGCAGCTTGAAATTATTGGGATTTATAAAATAAAATAGAAATACTAACTACACCTAAGCAGAGAATAATCAATCACGTGGCTAGTGGGCAGGATGGGTGTCCAGGACAACTATATTCTTTTCCTGCTTCTGCCATTGAATAACACGTGTCTTTGTGCAAATCACCTAGCCCCTATTTTAAAAATAGAGACAATGCTAAGACATACACATACTGCAAAACTAGTGTTTAACATGCCACTGGTGGACTCTCACTAGTAAAAATATTACACTGGACTGCAGTTATATTTTCTCAAGGTCTCATCTATACAGAAACACTCTGAAAAAGGAATCTGAATGGATGAAATTTTATAAAACCCGAAGAGACTTATTCACAGTGAAGGGCTTTGCACCACTTTATCTAAATGACAAAATAAAATATGTCTCTGTTCATTCTGAATGTCCATACAAGAGTTGCATGAAGTTGAAATAATCCATTCCAAATGTGAATTGAGATTAATTTTCCTGCAGAAAAATACAAAACTGTTTCTGTGGGCCACAGATAAATCTTAACACCACATCCCATTACACTGGCAGCCAAATTTGAATTCTGATTGTCCATGCTATTTGCTCAGGAAACAGAATATACCAGAACAATTTCAGAGCTAAGGCTCCTGAGTTTGTCGGGATTGTTCCAGTTTTGTGGCATCACTGCCTGAATAAACTTATCAGGAAGCAAAGTTCTGAAAGTGTATCGGGCCACTAAGGTAATTTGAAATAGATATAGCTATATACTTGGCTGCCTAGACAACTGACTTCCTAATAAACCAATATGTTCTATGTGAAAATCAGAAAGAGGGAATGGCAACCTTTAAATTCTGGCATTTTCCCTACGTGATGGATGCCAGGTTAACAATGGACTCTTCTCACAAGTTTTCAACAAAGGATAAGAGTCAACAGTTGTTAAGTTGCAGGAAGGGAAATTCTGACTAGATGTAAGGACAAAATAAAAATCATGGAGAAAGTGATTAAGTACTGGAACAGCCTGGAGAGGTTGTGGAACACCTGTCTTGGTGATATACAGAACTCTGCTGAATCTAACTTTGAAGTTAGCTTTGCCTTGAGCAAGTGGCTGGACAAGATGACCTCCGAAGGTCCCTTGCAGCCTAAACCCTTTCTATTCTTGTCAGTTCAGAAAAACCGTAATAGGGAACTGGGTAAGCTACATGAAAGATTAAACATATCTACTTCAAAAAAAGTTGATTTCAGACCAAACTTTTCGTATACAAACTCTTTTTTTACCTGCATGTCTCTTCCAGGGAAATTCATCAGTCCTCCACTTAACTTTGGATGTGCTGGAAACTGAATGCTCTGTATTATCCAGAAGACACTGGGAGTCTTGTGAATACAGTGACAGCTATGCCATGGCAAGTAGTGGCATCCACACAGAGTCATACTTCAATAATGCATTAACTTGATCTTCACCTGAACTGCCCAGAATTTTCTATCACAAAATCTCCAAACGAAGACTAGGTTTTAATATGGCCCACTATAAAATAAACTGTATTATGTTAAACTTAAGCTAAAGGTTTGGAAAAGAGTTGACTCCTCAAATAAGTGCAGCTTTATTTAAATAGTTGTCTTGAAGGAGCTACACTCTGCATTCCACTGCTGGTAGCAATACTGATGTTTTAAGAATAATTTGCTGGCAACTAAAGGGGACTAGAAATTATTTTGTGGCAATACTTGTCCTTTATTGTTGCAGTCCAGTGATGCAGTCTGGGATGAGGCCTACCAGTCCAAAACTTTATTTAAATAGAAGACTAGTGATACTACCACACAGGACAAAGCAGGAGGATCCAGGAGGAGAGAAGGCATTTACTCTTTTTATTAAGATGGGAAAAAGCAATAGAAGAAAAGGTCCATCCACTTTTTGATAAAGATTTATGTAATCTTGAGTATCTCTGGCATCCTAACTACCCCTGATACCTAGTACTATCTTACTGTAAATAAGTATTAGAAAGACTGAGAAGGCTGGTTTAGTTTTCTATTGTCTACTCAGTTGTGCAAACTGAGAATTAAAAAGGCTCTTGTAGAGGGAGATCCCATTTTAACTGTACACAAATTTTGAGTGGTACCAGATCAAACATACCATTAATGACCACATCTGTTATTCTTAGAAATACTGTACATTAAAAGGAGGCAAAATTTCTATGATCACCTACCTCCAATTAAATCCAGTGAAAATAACATAATCACATATTCTTTTTTCCTCTCAGGACTTTGGGCAATATAAGATTATCACATATACAAGCCAGATGCTGAAGAAACCTCAACTATATGGATTTAATTGTACATTAAGTCCAGGTAAAATAACCACTGTTGTAAGCCAATGCATACCTCAAACCATCCCTAGTACTAAATTACAAGTCTGTGCACTACTAGTGCATGGTAACCATAACAGATTCATTCATCTGCTTGCAATTCATATTTTAGATAATTCAAATGGAATGTTAAGAATGAGTAATAGAATTAAGGTTACTCTACTCTCCTAAAGCAGACTTTATTAATGTCAGATGATATCACCATTCCAGTCCACCAAAATATGATAATGAATATCAGAAAAAAAGTAAACTTGGAAAGAATGCCTGCTTGGGGTAGTAAGATTCTAGGGTGGAGCTAAAAGATTTATAAGAATATTCATTTTCACAGGGTTAGGGTTTTTTCACATTACAGGACAAACCCATATTTGTGGAGCAAGGGATAGGTATTTCGCTTCCAAGGAGATACTTACATTTCAGTTTCTTATTATGAGTTAAAATTAAAGGCACATGCACATTACCAAGAGTATTAATATCCATTGCAATATTATTAAACTATCTGTTTTCACAGTTCCTCCTGATTTATTAGAGTGCAAAGATTGCCCTGTGAAAGTTGAAGTCTTAGAAGTCACTAAGCAACATAAAACTATTGCTGCAAATGCCCTGAAGAAAGTCAACAGTGAGGGTAATTACACAAACTACTTCAATGTGGAAAAAGTTGAAAAGATTTTAAAGATGATAAGTGGCATTTTGTCCTAGAATTACTTATAAACAACAAAATTTTTGAGCAGCTCCAAAACCATGGGACCAAAACTCAAACCCTTCTAGGATCAGAACTATTGCTTGTCATCTCTCAGTGTAAATCATCTGGTTAAAATTGAAGTTCCTACTTCTGCAAAGACTTTTTATCAACTTTAACTTAGGCATGTGAAAGAAAAAAGGATTTCTCATCTGCTAAAACCTATGGCAGTGTGATGCCATGCAAAATGTCAGAGCCTTCTTTCTGTGCATATTTCTTTTTTGAATGCCTATTTATCTATCATATCATAATATACAAGAGTTTATTTACTACTGACCAGAGTTCTTCAGGATGTACAGTCATGTGTATTATCACAGCATACATTCTGCCAATTGAAGTCAGATAATTTTTCACTCTTAGAATATTTAGCATATGGGTATAACACAAAGCGGAACACGCTCAGCATCATTTTCACTTTCTGCTGCAGAGCAAAGGAGCACTCAGAGAGCTCTGAAAGACAGGAGGTAAATTCGTGTCTCTGCTATACCTCTTAAAGCACTACTGACTTTGGTAAATAACTTCTCCATCCTTGAATGATGTTGACATGAAGACTTATCCTTTGGGTGATTTGAAACATAACTCTCACATCACCACAATTTCTTGTTAGTAGATACTGGAGACCTTCACTTAAACAGCACAGGATCATTCTGCTAACACGTATCAGTTCAGGACACCTCTGTAATGAGGTCCCATGGCCCCTACTATAATAGATGTTGATCTTGTAAACTGTCTAAATTATAGCATGACAACCCCTCTTCCCTGCAGTTTTTAATATTGCTCAGAAACTTGACAGCATTCTACACTCTAGTCCTATGCAGGATGTATTCCTAGTCCCATTTAACAAGTGGCTGTTTTCAGATTGCCTGGATTCACAGATTTTTCTCTAAATACTTTGCCTTCACACTTCACCATCTTTTGCTACAGTGACGATTTAGATTGTACCGCTGGATTTCAACAGACTGCATAACACTTTAGAAACCATGAATTACGATAAAAAATGTATCATAAAGTATGTGAATCCACTTTTAACCAACTTAGTTAAACCAGTGAAACTTGTGTGCATGCACATGCTATGGACACCTTCAACATAGACTTGAAGTAAACAACTACTACAATTGGAAATTAAAATGAAACACCTCTCTACGGATTTTCATAGGATCACAAAGGCCTTCTCCCATGTTCTTATGGAGTAACACCTCCTCTACGAATAATGTCGCTGACAACAGAGAAAGCCACAATTTCACAGTAACTGGAAGAATTTCGTATCAAATTAACATCAGCACTTTAGTACTATGCAGTCCCATCATTGGAAAGAGGCGGTTGACATCCAGTAGATTTCTGTATTTTCACAGGAGCAGCAGTTCAATTTAGGGAGAAGACTCTAAGGATGCTAATTCCTGAAAACACAGGCTGTAAAAGTAACAGGTTTTATAACATACACATATTAGACAAAGAAATAAAGCAACCATTCCTGGAGCTCATAAAGGTGTGAAGTAAGATATAAATTATCTAATCTATTTTCCTTACTGAATACACATAAATGTATGAACATTTGAACAGCACAGGCAATGAAAGCATGAGGTAAACAGGATTTTGACAACAATATGAAATATAGTTGCTTTTGAAATTACAGGACTTTAAATACACCTATTTACCACTTCTTCTTTGACCTCTTGGTTTCAGACTGCCTCTCGTGAAGGTCACATTTTAGGATTCTCTATAAAAGAGACCGACTGTTCCAAATCTGCACAAGAAGATCAGGCATTGGAATGTGATTTTCTGGATGACTGGCATGCTGTAAGTCTTAGAATGAGAATACAATAGGTGGCACCAGGAAGATCTTCCCACAATATTTCCAAGTGTTTCTTATAAGCATGCACCCAAACGCAAAATTTAAAAATCCATCATGATCAAGTCCAGATCCTAATTTTAGAGCTGCTCTTTTTTATTCTAGGAGGAGGCAGTCTGAACTCTCAAATCTAAATGTAACTGGAGTCTGGCATATTACAGACCTAGAGCTGAGCTTTTCAGTTTGGATCTGGCTTTCACATCCAAATTGTGGCCATTCCCTAGTAAATCACTCATGCTATTTTCACAAATATGTTTAAACTAATGTAAGTCATAGATCTTTAAAAAAATACATGTAAATTTCCCTCTGCTGCAGGGCAATGGAGAGTGGAATAATTCAGGCCTGTCTGAAGATTACTATCAAAGCACTCTCCTCACCCCACCTCCCCATTACAATGACAGTTTACACCAAAGAAACAATTAGTCAAGATCGTAATTTCAGAATAAATTATTCCCCAGAAATGAAACTGAAGGAATGAAATAAAAATATGGAAAAAAATAGAACATGTAGAACTTTTGTTTTACCTACAACCATTTTCTTCTCTGGCTTCTTATACTCCAGAAGACTGGAAAAGATTGTGAATGAACCTGTAGGGGAGCCAAAAGTTCACTAGAATGAGGCATGAGCCAGATAGCTACAGGTTTTGAATTCTGTTCTTAATGCTGCCATCACTGGTGTGTGTGTGTGTGAAATGCTATTAACATTTGTAATCACTGATTGTAATAGGCTACTAATGGCCCAAACATATATCAAGATAAAGCAGTCACTACAGACAGCATATACAGAATCTCTTACCCAAGTTCTGTGCTCTTCCTGAGCAATTCCACACACAATAACTGGACAGCAGGTGAAAGTCACAGCAAACAGGATGGCAAGGGAAGTAATGCTAAAAGATTACAACAAACTACTTTTCAAAAAAATGAATATGGAAAAAAACTCTATCTTGAGCTTTTTCTGAAACAGCATAGCTATACAGTGTCTATTTTTGAGGACTTTGAGCAAAATTTTAAAATAGCCAAATTTGAACAGATGTTTGACAAGCAAACACAGAAAAAAAAGGAATAAAAATCAGTCACCCACAGGGTACTCATTTTGGAGATATCAGTAGTTGACCAATTTCTTAAAGACATCAAAAGAGAAGTAAGATGGAGAGTTGTAGCCCTCTAGATGGACCTGGCAAAGTGGCCTCCACAGTCAAGAACACACAGTCAAGAACACTCAAAAATGGCATATATGTTCATCACTATTAATCATTGGCAAGTATCACTGGTCAGAAAGCTCAAGATCTACCTAAATTATGTAAACATACTTAGGTATTAAAGGAACTAGCCTAACTTTTAAAGCGTTGAACTTTCAGTAGCTTCTATTAACCACATCACAAGAACCCAGATATACATTGGTTTGGGTTTTTTTCCTTTTCTTTTGCTTAGCACGTGGGATTCTGCAAGGCAAGAATTATCAGTGATCCAGATGAACTAGATGGAACAGATATAAGCTGTGAAATCTACCATCGCTGGGTATGTGCTCACTTCCCAAAATGTCTCTGGCTTTCTCCTTCTAGAGGCTACAGCAACCTCACTTAGTCCAGACTGACAGATTGCAATATTTGTTTAAGTCGCTTTGTTATTGCCTGGGTGTGATGCAGTATGTTGAGACAGACTGGCTTTTGACTGCTAAGTCAATCAGAGGATGAATTAGAATTGAGCTGTCTCTACTACTCCCTCCAAGGGTGTCTTCTCTCAGTCCAATCATACTTTGAAAAAGTTCAAAGGAATTTTAGAAAGCAGGAAGAGGGGAGATAATCTTTATCATATTTGGTATTCCAGTTTATATTACAGCAGCTATTCCAGTGCAGGTTTCGTTTTGATCCATCACAAATTTTGCTCAGATGGTTACACCATTTAATTTAGTTATGGTGTAGTATTTCCAGATGATTTTCAGTAATTTGGCATTTTATCATCCATTCCTTCTTGTCTATCTTGAAAAAAACACACGTTTTTTCCTTACAGATCACTGGAACTGTAAATGCAAACCTAACAACTCCCACCTCTCTCTCTTTCTCACCACTTTCTTCTGTCCTATTAACATCTCACTTAATACTTCCTCCTCTGGTGTTTTTATAAACAGCAGCATGACTATGGGCAAAGATGCAGATATTCAACCCTGGGACAGCCACAGAGACATTCTCATCATCATTTTGGTCACAGACATCCTCACAGACACCATCACAGGCATGGATGTCCACCCTCTTCTCAATCCAGACCTGAAGACCCTGAGCATAACCACAGTTTCAACCAAGAACCGTCCCCTCCACCCCCCCACAGTGGACCACATCACCACCTTCACCCTCCACACCGCTGTCCTCCACCTCCTCCCCATGGTGGACCACATCACCACCCTCCTCCTCCCTATGATGCACCATATCCTCCTCCCCAAGACGAATCACAACATTCTCCTTCAGCTCCTCCTCCCCATGATGAACCACATCATCCTCCTCCTTCCCAAGAGGAATTACATCATCTCCTTTCTCCTCCTCCCCATGATGAACCACATCATCCTACTTTTGGTCCCCATCATGGAACACACTGTCCTCTCCCTCCTCATGGACCACATCACCACCATCCTACTCCCCATCACAGACCACACTGGCCTCCTCACCCTCCTCATGGACCACATCACCACCATCATCCTCCCCATTGTGGACCACATCACCCTCCTCTTCCAGGACACCCTCCTCATCTCTGTCATCACTATTATAGACACCACTGCAACAAGACAGGAATATCGGGAAAGTACTTTCCATTCCAAACAACAGGAACTATCACATTCCAGTTCTAAATCAGCAGGATTCTCTCACGCCTCCCATTGCAAACTTTCCAGAGTTATTCCAAAACAACCCTCACTCCTCCTGCACTGGTGAAGGTATTCCCTTCACCGGCTCAAGTCTAAAGGAGATGCCAGAAGATCTGAGATTTCCAGATCACCCTACAGAATCAAACTCATGCCCAGGAAACCCCAAACTTGTTCTTCCAAAAATTTTGCCCTTATTTCCACATAGATCCATGCAGATAAATTCCCCTACACGACCTCAGAGAAAAATGTTCCTGGCTTGAGAGTTGCAGGGCCAATGACAGTTGTTTAATGAATGAAAACAGCATGTGGAGAAGGGGAAAAAGCATACAATTTCTAGGGAGGAGGAGAACTGAAAATAATGATTAAGACAAGTATTCCAACCTGCCTCTTGACCCCAGCTATCTCAGACTCCATTGTAACTGAAAGGCTCAAAATTCTGAGTCCCTCAGATACCATGAATGGGTACAAATCTCCCCAACAAACAATGCTCCTTTAGTTCTAACAAAAAAGGAAAATTCCCTAATAGTGAAAACTACCACCTAAAATCTTTCATTTTCTCATCATTCATAATTATAATGTACTTCTCTGAAGAAATTCTGACCTAGAGGAAGTTTGACCACCTTTCATAAAAAATGATCCATGCCACTACATTTATGTTTTACAAAGGTTCAAAGAAAATAAAAATATGTAAGCTTTTTTTTTCTTGACACTGTTGTCAAAGTTTAGTCTTTTTTGTTACTGTGGATGTTTATCTACACGGTAAACACCCAGGAGGCATACTCTAGCATAAACTGACTAACAGTGGTTGGGTTACCACCATTACCCAGAAAAGGTCTGAGAATAATTAATAACTTGTAGTGTAACACTGCAGGGTGGCCTGAACAGGTACTTCCATGCTACAGTTGCTGGTGGTGACATACCAGAAATACTGCATTCAAGGACAGCCCTTTCCAAATAGGTCGCAACTGCTCTCAGGGAGGAAGAAAAGCAGATGCATGTAATAACTCTTTCATGTAAATGTTCTTTATCCCTGAACCATCTTTACTGTGTTGTAAAAGTATAAAAGAGCAAAAATTTAGCAAAATACAAAAACCACTGTTTCTCATACTATCTGCACCTCAGAATCTAAGTTTTGTTTTGTAACCAGGATCACTATTGCTATAAACAAATTTATGGTTGCTTAGTTCTAGGATAGAACTATTGTATTGCCAAGGTTTATGACCAGCAGAATGGTGATCTGAAACCATGCTGTAGAAAGTACCTATTTTTGTGTCCTAGGTGAACTTAGCTCATTATAAAAAACACATCTCTATATCTTAAGTTACTCACTTCTTTATGAAGCCCCTCACCCTTTGAGCATGTGTACATTAATAGGTAGATACTGTGACTTTAAATGAAAGCAAGGAATAAAACTAGCCAATAGATGATGTTGTGATAAAATACTAACCAACAGTTAAGTATAGAGGCACGTGCTTGTGTGTTCAGAATCAAATAATTATGGTGTGTGTTTGTAACTCAGTGTGCTGGCCACTTTGGACAGCTAGCACCCTTTTCTGCTCAGAACTGTAATAAATACAAATATCTTGACTCTGTGCATTATTTGGCTCTTTGCACACCGGGTGAAGTAACCTGGTTTTGGGACAACATCTGGAAACTGAGTTGGGAGGAGCAGGAAGAAAGAATACTGGTGTCTCTATATTCTAGCCCCCATCAAGGTAAAGTCCATTCAGACAGACCTGGGACCCCAAGGAGTTAGTTCAGAACAGTTACCTCATAAGCAAGAACATGGGATTAGTCTCAAAAAGTCACTAATTTGGTCCTCAAAGTAGCTTTTTAATGGCATAAAGTAAAATACACTGTGAGGGCTACGCTGACAGAAAAAGAGACAAAATGGGGGCAGGATTTTGCATAACTATGTGAAGGTTGACTAATTTTTAAAAGTGCATTATCACATACGAAGAACCTGATTTCTGGTATAGTTTGTCTATAAAGTCCATTTTCTTCAACCAATACTTGTAGCAAATGTGGCAGCTTGACCCTGGCTGGATGCCAGCCGCCCACCAAAGCTGCTCTATCAATCCCCCTCCTCAGCTGGACGGGGAAGAGAAAATATAACGAAAGGCTCGTGGGTTGAGATAAGGACATGGAGAAATCACTCACCAATTATCATCACAGGCAAAACAGGCTCAATCTGGGGAAATTATTTTAATTTATTACCAAACAAACCAGAGTAGGACAATGAGAAATAAAACCAAATCTTAAAAACACCTTCCTGCCACCCCTCCCTTCTTCCCAGGCTTAACTCTACTGCCAATTTTCTCTTACCTCCTCCCTGCCAGCAGCGCAAGAGGACAGGGACTGGGGGTTATGGTCAGTTCATCGCATGTTGTTTCTGCCACTCCTTCCTCCTCAGAGGGAGGACTACTGGACTACTCACACTCTTCCCCTGCTCTAGCTTGGGGACCCTCCCACAGAAGAGAGTCCCCCATGAACTGCTCCAGCCTGGGTCCCTTCCACGGGGTGCAGTCCTTCAGGACCTGTCTGCTGCAGCGTGGGTCCCCCATGGGCTGGCACTGGCTGTATCAAACACGGGGGCAGCTTCTAGCTGCTTCCCACAGAAGCCACCCCTGTAGCCCCCCTGCTACCAAAACCTTGCCATGCAAACCCAGTACAGCAAGACACAACTGGAATGCTGGAGCTGAGGCAATCCCATGGTGCTCCCAGATTCAAAGCAAAGCTATTTGGTGCTCAACACTGGAGATAAGCGCCAGGTGTTCCCAGCCAGCTCTAATTCCAGCTCTGCCAGACACAGGCAACATTACTTAATCAATTGTTCTTGGGTGTCACTTTCCCTATCTGTAATGGTAATAAAACATTATGAAGACTGAATAATCCATGGTCCAAAGGCAGTCTCCACATGGCAGGAAAGATGGACACTTCCAATAGTAGCATGGAGGACAAGATTTATCAAGTGTTACTGAAGAGTTATGTGACATTCAGTGATACACATCTGTCCAAAGACTTTTTACCAAACATGTTCTGACTTTGCAGAACTACTGCAGTCTGAACACTAAACAGATCTATAAAATTTACAGAGTTGTTTTCCAGAACTAGAGCTTCACTGCCACTGTGACCTTCTTTGGTGTTTTATTTAAGCCTTCTAAAATTCATTCTCAGTAGCAGTTTAGACGTTAAGAAGTCAGAAAACTACAAACATTCTGCTTTCTCTTTTGCTTCGGGGCCATCCTGCTTAGTCTAAACCTGTCCCCAGCTGCAGCCCTTTAGCCTGTTATCTTGATGGCAGGTGGATAACCTTAGTGTCATTCTAGTGACCACACAAAGTTTATTTAGATAAACTGAGAAGTTTATTTGCAGTATAAACAGGGTATGACGAGAATCAACCAACCCCAGCAACCCACTCATTCTGTTTACTTAGCTATTGCTCCTGAAAAACAGAAGAGGTGACTAAAACCCTGTCAGGCATTCCTTTTCCATTTGGTTTTTAAAGATCCTTCTAACTCAGGGGGCCTTTCTTGTCCAATTATGAAACCTTACATTCTATTAGCACTCTGCTGCAGTTTTTTCTCTAGCAAAGCCACCCCTCTTCCATTTGAGTTTTCAGACTGTGATGACCCTGATGTCTTTAAAGCTGTCGACACAGCACTGAAGAAATACAATGGAGACAAAGCAACTGGTAATCAATTTGCCCTATACATGGTGATGGAAGCCAAGAGAACTGTAAGTAGACTTCCCAAAAAAACAAATATGTTGGAATTGTTTATGTACTCTGAATCTGATTACCTCCATCGTGTTCATGAGAGAGCAAACATGACAGCAAAGTGTCTTCCAAAAACGTTTTAAAAAAATCAGAGAAATTACTTGCACAGTAAGATTCTTGTTACCATGACAAGCAAGGATATATATTACGTTCTTATCAACAGAACTATGTGTGCTGGTGAATTGCTTATTAATGCAAGGACTAAAGAATAGCAAATTTCTATCACTAATACAATTTGTCTTACTAGTTCACTCTGTTTTCTCCTTTCTGTGTTGGGAATTCTACCCCTTTCCATCATCAGTCAGGTTTTCAGATGAATAGCAAACTACGCTTACTGAAAAGCATGAATGTTATCTTGACTTGTGAAGAGCTGGTATCACGCATAAAAAAGAATGACCTGATAAAATTTGGTAATACTCTGAATAAATTGTTTGTGAATATTATTTGATTGACACTAGTCCTGAGTCACAGATCTATCTAAAAGCACTAGATGGTATTTCAGTCAAATAGGGTAACTGCTAAAATTACAGAAAAAAAAAAAAAAAAAAAGAATGAATCATGGTCCTTTGCCTGGAGTCCTTCTGTATAGTGTTAATCTAACAAAAGAGTATTTACTTCTGAGAGGCGTACAAAGATGACATTACCATAATAATGATAAGCCTTACTCTGCCTGAAAACAACATTAGCATTTTTTAATACTGGACTGGATTTTCAGATGTAAAACACAAGAAACCCAGTGTCAGAGAGAATGTTTTGCACTCCAAAATCACAAGACACTTACCCAGATAGAAAGGGGCCATGAATTGCTAAATGCTTGCAGTAAACTACCCACATTTTCTGGCACCTACCCTCTGGCTTTCCTGTTTTCAAACTGTGGAGATTTTAGCATGTCGTGACAAAGACTAAAATCTGTCAAACCCTTTATACAATTAATATTAAAAAAAGAATAGTCCCACTGTCTTCACTGAACTACACACACCTTTAACAATAGCCAAATGCAAACATTTTTATATCAGAGCTGTAACACCACCTTCCTTTTGCTGATGTTCCCAAAGGACAGATAATAGTTTCAGTATTTTATCTTAAACAATGTTTTATTTTTAAGAATACATATTTATTGCAATTATTATTCATCTTTCCTTCTCAAGATACCCATCTTTCCTTTTCTTAAAAGATCTGAGGTGAAAATCAATTATCACTTTGAGTCATTGATCTGACCATGATGTTAAATAAAACACAGAGAAAAGGAATCTACAATAGAGACTTCGATATTATTTTTCCAAAAAGGGTATAGATTTTACTCATTGCTAGTCTCACAATGTTGAATGCATTAATTAAATAGCTGGTTATTACATATTCATGTACATTCATTATTGATCAGGTAATAAAACATAAAAGCTGACTGGTGAAAGCCTGAACCTGACCCAGTTAAAGCATAGCTGTTCATAATAATAATGAAATAAACCAACAACAAATAGCATACAGAAACAGTGTCTTTTTTCAGGTATTTTGTTTACTCACTGAGCTGATTTATTGCAGATTTAGAACACTGTTAACAGAGGAGAACAGAATTTGGCTCTTTTTAAATCCGTGTCCCAGACAGTATAACCTGATGCAGCTCCATAAATGTCAGTTTACACCTGCTGAGGATTAAGTCCATTATATTTTTAGAGACCCTTTCAACGTGTTTTACAACTTATAACCATTATATCAGGTACCTCTACGCCTCTTTGAAGTTGTAGCAAAACACAACAGGAATTGAGAGAACACAGAATATAATTCTGTGTCTACATCAGCATAAATCCAGTATATTCCACTGGCGTCAGCTCACTTGCACTTTCTTGGTATCACTGAGGCAAGAATTATCATTTCATTCTCCCAGCAGTATCATTTGAGGATAACCAGTGTTAAAGTACAGCAACTGCCTGTGTTTGTATTTGAAAAGCCACACTGGCAGAGCATATTTAGTGGCTGTAAAAGATTAGTAACTTCTGGCTTTATATCTCCTCTAAAGGATGAACCACAGACCTTGCAGTGTGTTAATGTTACCTGTAGGCACAGGCTCACTATTCAGTTTATAGCAAGGAGAAAATGCCCCCTACCGATTTATCAACATCAGAAACACTTCCACTGGCCAGGCCAAACTTTGCTTAATACTTTGTATTTCATTTTTCGGGATTTCTGAGGCTACCCTTGTGAGCAGCTCAGCCTTTAATACCTACAGGAAAACTGCAGGCACTGCCAAAGGCTGTCTCCAGAGCATATGCACTCCTCGCCCCTTTCCCCTGAGTAGGCAGGGCAGTGTAAGTACTCTGTTACCGCAGAGTAAAGGCAGTTTGGGCACTGCCAGGCTGCCTGAGGGTTGCTGGCTGCTGTTTCTAGGCTGCCTGTAGAGTTGTACAGAAGGAAAGTAGACAGATCTGGGAGGAGGCCAAGAGTGAGAGTGAGGGAGTCAGACAGGAGCACAGTCCAAGCTGGTAATTATGCTAACTATCCAAGCAGCAACCCAAATTTGCTTATTTGGAGTGCATTTGAATATGAGTATAAAACCTAACCACTTCTTCCTGGTTTTAAAACCCTTGGTATAACAAGTTAAAATCAAGGCTGTTGAGCACACTGTATCCTTTGTATCAACATACTGTAATTGTAGGTAAGGGCTCAGTAATATAATTGGATGAGTTAATTATTGAACTACCAAGATTTGGGAGACCTTGCATGGAGACCAGCAGCTAATCTGAAACCATACTATAAAGTACAAGGTAAACAATGGATTTTATTTACCTTTTGAAGCTCTTATCTCTTCACTTGATTTATTACTATGCAAATGATGACATGCATATTGTTTTTATCCAGGCAGGTCCTGACACACAATTCTATGTGAAATATCGAATACAAGAAACCACTTGTACCACTGAGGAAAACAAACTCTGGCAAGACTGTGATTACAAAGTACATGCAGAGGCTGTAAGTATCCATCCTCATCCTCGTTAAAAGTTCCCCACACAGCAACATCAACATAAGGACTGCAGGGAAAAATACAGTAGAGAACTAAACTTTTTTAGCTGTGTTGATTTTGAGAGCTTATAGGACTAAAGTACAATATAGAAATGTTTACAGCTCTAAAGTTAACCCTTATAATCATGAGTTTACCATTATAACCCTGACTGTGCGGAAGGGAACATTTCATCCCTTCACTATGAAGGTTCACAATAAATTCAACAGAAGATACATGCACTGTGAGAGTGTGAGGGCTGTAAAACTTTCCATTATACTTAATTAATAGAAACTTGCATAACCAAATTTACTTCAGATCTACACCAACAAAAATACTGACATGGGAGCCACTATGGCAGAAAAATTACCAGAGGGCTTTTAGCAGTTCAAAGTATGTCTGGCTCATGCTACCAGAGAGCACCTAGAGGAGGTACGATTGGGGCGCACGTAGCGTTCAGGAACACTGTGCATTTCCAGTGGAAGTCACTGTTATTTCACACACTACACAACGCAAAGAAGGGGATGATGGTGATACTATCATTTGAATCAATGTGAAATGCCATGGCCATTGCTGTATATCTTGTACTAACAGAGAGGAATTTAGGTAAATACACAATCTATACAGACTTTATTTATGAGGATGTGTTCATTTCCATTATTCTGACTGTCAATTCTTCAGTTAGTTAATACACATCAATCATGATACAAAGCGATCTTTCAAATTATCTGCTCAGTTCATGCCCTGCTCTCCTCACAATTAACAAAACCATTCCTTTTCCAGTAACAAAACAGCAAATTGGACATTACTACAAATGGACATATGAACTTGTTCCCCAAACTCAATTTGCAACTGTCAACTTTGTTCAATATCTAGAGAAATAAAGAGCACTGTATTTTTCTTCAGCAAGTTTAAGACAAATGTTGTCATACGTTTTTGCAGAAAAGAGGAGAATGCACAGCTCGTGTTCACATGAATAATGCTGGAAAAACGAGTAATGTCTCACAAGATTGCAAAATTTTTCCAGGTATGTAACTGTTTGGGGCAGCATTCAACAAGTACATTGACAAATAAGAATGGGAAAAATTTAATACTGACTTTCAGGTAACTTTAAAGGTAGGAGCTCCTTATCATTCTATTCAGACATTTATAAATAATCTTCCATAAGCAACTAGATGTTAAAGATAAAATTTCACTTTGCTATTATACATATATATGCTAAGTCAGTGAAGCACTGGCAGTTTCTACCTAGGGTAATGAAAACTGGCACATGCATGTATAGTAAGTTTCTCCAAACACTGGAATTATACCAAGTTAAAATGAATTTGCTTGAGACCAAAAGCACATCAGTAACTTAGAGACTAGATACAACTTGTCACACTTTAATTTTCCATCCTCACTCATACAAGTATAAAATTGTGCCAGAAATCATTAGGAAAAAAACTTATATGACAAAATTGTACTTTAATTTTCTCCAAACTAAAAATTACTAAATTATTTATGTTAAAGTTTATGAAAACAAGTATTTACCCCCAACCAAAAAAAAAGAACAAAACAAGATTTTATTTACAAAATAAAAATCTAGCACTGGTATAATTATGTACGAGAGACTGTGATATCTTTTAGACCTTACCAATAAGCAGTACTTTATTTCTTGCCTAGAAGACATTCATATATGACTACTACGTTCACATAGTAATTTCCTTTATTAGAAAGAAATCACATTGTTTTAAAGCTTTGTAACTGAGATCTCTATGTGTCTATGCCTAGCGTTCATGTACGACATATCCGAGCTAGTTTTAAAATATCTATGCAACTGGTACCAGGAAGCTAAATGCATATTAACTACAGAAATATTTACCATGATTTTGGAGATGTTTGGCAGCTTATCTTTGTTATTTGTTCCTAGTTATCTTGTTTAAAGCTTAAATGGCTATACCTACAGCCGGTGTCCTCCTAGGAACTGCAGTACACGCAAACTCCATGTTCTGATACTGAATAAATGAAGCTTGGTTTAGACACATTTGTAGGGCAATGGTGACATCTAGTTGCCAGTAGAAGGTGTGTGAATCCCACAGAGAATGCATGGGAAATCTGCATTTGAATATTTTCTTAGAAGCTAAAGAAATATACATAAATTAAATGAATAATGTATTCAGACCTAAGCAGCTCATCTCTTCTTACCAAGTTACAGCAACTCTGAAAAAAGAACACACATGTGTTCAGCACTTATGAAAATGCTGAGACCACAGTCAGTTTAGAAATGGTTGTACTGTTGTTTTATTATCTCCTTTGTGATTATTCCCTGAAAACATGGTCACATTTTTCTGTAACGTATATATTTGTCATTACTGAGTCAAAATAAGTGATGCTAGAAATACAAAGATCCAGCCTTTGTTCAAGTACCCCTTGGAGAGTTAAGACTAAATACTATTACTTACACTGAGAAGTTCCAAATGTACCAGAGGATCCAAATTAAATCCAAAGGATTCAAACAGAAAGAGTGAAACAACAGACCCGAACTGGTGAGGGATTGTCACAACATGTTAGGTACCATCCTGCTCAGCCTTCTTGGTGGAACAGTTTGATCATACTGACCCTGGACTGGTTTCCTGGCTGGTGCAAGCTGGCATAACTCCATTAAAGTCAGTTTATGCCAGCTGAGGATCAGGCACACAAATTTTACTTCAATTCCACAGAGACCACATATTGTCCCACTTTCATTCTCAAGCTCACTGAATCATGAAATTAATTTATGTACTGAACTATAAAATTAATTTATGAAAATCCAATCCATGATTACTAGAAAGGGAGTTAATAGGATTAGTAGTAGGAAACAGAAGTTTGAGCATCCCCGTCAAGCTTGTCCATCCACAGCCAATCCAGTTGGTTAAGCCTGAAGGTAACACTGAGCAGTGACTGGCAGCCACAGTGACAAGCAGGGGGAGTTCAAACAACACAGCAGTAGAACAGTTCAACTACAGTCCCTAAGGAGCTCAGTGTCAGAGCAGTTCACAGGGGTGAGCCAAAACATCCTGCCAAAGTCCCAGTCCTGAAACATGGTGAGGACAGTAAGCAGCTGTGCACAGTGGGTGAGCTTTGAAGAATCTGAAGAACATCTCCTTAGTTGTAACTGGTTCTTCCCTCACTGAATGAGGGATGACCCTTCCTTAATGGTGTCAAAACTACACGCAAGGTTTTTCAGAGATTCAATGACTCCTGAACTCACTCTGAATGAAGTTTGCTGCTGAAACCTGGATCCTAATGTCACATGGATGGCCCCTACCACCACAAACCAAAGCATGTTTCTAAATACAGTTAATGTCCTCGCAGGCTCTGAAACTGAAATGTGGGGTTTGCTGATCGCTCCAATTAAAAGCAGGAATGGTTCTTGCTCATTGAACTTTTTCTCTCATTCCCAGATGGGAAAAATGAAAACTTGAGGCTATTTTACATGAAGCCTTATATTTTTTGTTTGTTTTTTTTTTTTCCAGCTGCGCCAAAGATAACACTTACTGAGGCTACATGTCTTGGATGCTTTCATCCTATATCAAGTGACAGTTCAGAAGTGTCAGAAATTCTGAAACAAGCCATTCAAAAGTTTAACAAGCACAGTGCTGAATCCGCCCTTTTTAAGCTTGTGGAAATAAAAGAAGCTAAAAGACAGGTTTGTGTACGATTTTTCTCTAAATTTAACAACAACAACAACAAAAAGGTACCTTGGTTGTTTTATATACACATTTTTGATTTTAAGGTGGCTTATATTTCATAATAAAAGCATACAAGATGCATCTAGAGTGTAGACCCTGTAAATAATTCTCTTCATTTATAAGGAATCATAAATTGTTACCCACTGGATTTTCAGAGCTGTCAACCTTACAAACTGATAGTAAACATTTTTTCTTTATCTGCAGTTGCATCTAACCAGCGTTCAGCACCAGTTTACTTGCATTCAGTGCTGACACATGCATCTTGTGTTATCTCAGATGCACTCGGGTATTCCACTTGGCCTCTCCCTGAAGCTCCAGCAGGAGCAGATCTCTCCTAGGTTCTGTGCCAAAACTACCAGCCTGCACAGATGTCTCATATATACACTACAGCCTCTCAAACAGCAGTGGGCATCTATGTTTTTGCCATGCAATAGGACACATATGTCAGCAGCTGCTACATGCTATAGGACGGGTAAGCCCCAAATAGGAAAAATGGGTAAGAAAAACAAAAAGCCAGCATGCCACTTGCTGAAAGATTTCTATACACAGCAATACCTGCTTTGCAAGAAACAACTGCTCAGGTCACAGAAATTCCATGTCATCTGGTATTCCATGCAATAATTATTTCTCTGTGAAGGGCTCTCCTATGAATTGCTGTGACGTTGCTAGTAAGTAAAGATTCTTATTTAGTTTTTCATTATTATATAACCCGACACCAAATACGGGCCCTTTTCTTTGAATGTATATGTATTTACTTAGCCAAAAAGTATCCTCTGGTCTCATGTCAATTTGACCCATGATTTAATTCAGACTGTCCTCTTTCTACTTACTGATGGCAACAATCCTCTTAGCTGAAAGACAAGCTTACACAACATTTAAGCCACGTGACAAAATGTCACAGACAGACTGCAATCCAGCAGCTGCAAAGAGAACCATCACATCACTTCTGGCCAACAGAGACTAGTCAGAGCCCTCCACTTTAATTGATCTGGGATGGAAAGTTCCTACATTCGATTCTTATTTTCTCTTTTTAATCCAATGCTACCTGACCCAACACGGTGGCATGGAGAGATTTACTGGGTGGGAAGCAGTAGCCACAGTGAGGAAAACTGAACTGCTTCCTGGAGAGAAAATGAAAAAAAGGGTCACAAATCTGGACAAAACAGCAGGCGGGGGAAGGTAAAGCCCAAGACAGACACAGTTATAGGTAGATGATAAATGCAGGGCACTCAGTAACAAATGATGCCAGCAGTATAATGTTACATTACTCAGATGCTGTTTTACTATGTCCCACACTCAGGAACATAGGACGTGCCAAGCTGTATTAGTGTAGTCATCTATTTAGACCAGCTTTCCGTCACTGGGAGTAATAAGTAACAGATACTTTGGTGAAAAGCACAAGAAACCAAGGCTGCAGGCTTGCCAGAAGTAGAATCCAAATACAAAGTGCACTTCTAATATATGCATGACTTAGTTTACTTTTTGTATCACAAGAACAAGATATATTTTTGCTGTCCATGGCTCAATGACTGCAAAGTGATTTGATGGATGGAAGGCACTAGAAGAGTGGTTTTGCTTTCTTTGCTAATCACATTTAATAGTTTAACTTCCAACTTAGTATTGGTTTACATATCTCCTAAACATCTGTTCCAGGTGGTAGCTGGATGGAATTACATAATTAAATATGAAATCAAGGAGACTAATTGCTCCAAGGACCAATTTCAAGATTTAACTCCAGAGTGCAAAACCACTTCTAGAGGTGTAAGTAATCTTAAAAATCTGTTTACCGAGAAAATATCATATTAACAAATACTCACTGACATCTGACTCAAGAAAATATTTATAGTCTCGCTTCACTTTGTGAAGGAAGTTTAAATCCAGGCTTATAGATAACTGTCTATTTATGCAATTAGAACATCCATGTCTTCTGAATTGGTGACTAAGACAACCACTGAAATGTTTACAGATCACTTTATAGAATCTAAACACTCTCAGACAAATAATAAATCCCTTGAGAAGTTCCTTCTAGATATTCAAGGAGTTACTTAGGTACAACCCAAAAATCAATAATTAAAATTAGCACCGTTTTTCCAGCTTAAGATGTATTTTCTAAGAAAAGTAGGTAGTTGAACTATTACTTAACCTCTATCACAGTCCAAAAAAGAGATCTTCAGAAGAAATTTATTAACAAACATACATGCTCTAGCTAAACAGTGATGCAAAACCAGGTACTTCCTCAGCTTCTCTGAACTGGAACAGGATTAACTGTACCAAAAATAGAAGGTCTGTGGCCATCTGCTCCCCTCCACCCCTTTCTTCTTAAAGCAATAGCCACCAGTGGTGGTCGTGATGGCTGCATATGTTTTAAGTTGGACTCTAGGGAGACAGATAACAACACAATAGATAAGGGCCATAAATCTCACCCAGCAGCTGAGGGCTAGTTGAGCATGTGCCACCCAAAATATGGTTGATATGCAAATATGATAATAAGTCAGTCATCTTACTCCATAAATAGTGGACACAGGGCCTGTTGAGCTCTCCTGCGTGGCAGCAGGCTGCACACCAGGATCTCCCCTTGACAGGGATACCTCTCAAGGTTACTCCTTGAGGTTGAGAGAATCCTTATCACACCAGATACTAGATAAGTGAATGGGAATAAGCACGCTGAAACTTTGAAATCTTAGCTAAGTGATATAAAGGATCGAGTGCACACATATAATCCTTTAGACATAAACCACTGACCAAGTCTGGGACTAGGATTGGATCCAGCTGCACCTAGAGTCCTCTCTGAGGAGGAGTTTAGAAAGCAAGGGGGTCCATTCTGAACCTCATGACTCAATGAGAGGGTCTCCCTGAAAGTTTTGTCTGACCCTGTCTTCTATGCAGTAAAAATCAAGCATACTTTGCCAGATAATCTTGTTAAATCACTGTCACATTTACTATCAAACTTTGTTAAATCACTGGTTTATGTCAATAAACATATTGCTGCTCCTCTCTTACCAGTGAAGTGCATCATTCCAACTGCAACAGGGTTACTCTCTCAACCAACCTCCCTGAACCAGCTTGTGAGGGGATCAGGCAAATGCTTCTGCAAATACAAGGCGGAGGGCAGGAACACTGAGTCATCACGAACAGTGGTGGTAAACGGGAGGGAAGGAAGCACAGGAGTCCTGACTCGCATCTGTTTCAGTTGTTGTGGAAGTGCACTGTTGAGTGTGACATTCAAGAGCCTCTCCCGTTTGAAAATTACTTCTTAGATGTCTCAAGAATGTTTCAGAAGCATTGATCAAAAAATGAAAGAATGACAACACTGTGGTAAATAATAAGAGAGTGAGAATCAGACTAGCTGAAGCAAATCTCTCCATTACCCACGCTTGCCCTTAGACATTAAGGTCATTCACATACCGCTTTGATCACATAGGGTTTGTGGGATTGGGTCTTTATCACTTACACTCTGAACTGTTAAGCAGCCTTGCTAATAGATCATTGAAAGATATTATTAGAATATGATATTCCAAGAATATTGCATACCTTGGAATGACCAGATTCCATGGAAATTGTTTCATACCTTTATTCAGCTCTGTACTGTTAATTTTGAAATGGGAAGACTGGAATTGCACCCTGTGTTCAACATGCATGTGAATCACAGAGCTACAGTCGGGCATAACATCACTCTCCCTAACCTGGATAATAGGTCTTGACATTATTTTTGAATTATTTTTTCTAAACAACTACTAAGCAGATTTTTTTACGGATGACATTTTCAAGTATCTGTCATAGCCCTAGGATCTTGATCTTGAATTGTAACAGTCTCCCTTCTTATTCTACAGTTGATTAGTTTCCTTTAGAATCTTTGATAAGGGACTTCATTGAAACTTTTTTTGAGAATCTACAGGTCTCTTTACCCACTTTTGTTGATGCTTTGAAGAACTTTGACATTTCTGCAGAATATGACTCTGTTTACAACAAAACTCCGGTCTCTCCTTGATGTATTCATGCCCCCTAGTTCTTTCCTTGTTACCATTTCTAATCACTTGAATGGTACAGACACCAGTTTTATGGGTCTACAGCCTTTTCAAAACAGAACAGGATCAATATCTGCTTTCTTCCAGTCCTAAGATATCAAGGCAATTTTAACACCTGAGTAAATACAAGAAACTCAATAATGTTTGATTTGTTAATTGCGTAATCTTATTTTTGGTCTTTACAGTTAGAGACAGAAATTCTAGTGAGTTCTCCATAAAATAGGATTCTGGCTTGTAAACCTCCCCATTTCCTTCTGTAATAAACACATACAAATACTTCATTTAGCTTCTCTTTTATGGTTTTCTTTTCTCTGAGTGGTCCTTTTGAACCCTGATCATTTACTGGCACTGCGGACTGTCTGTCAGGCTTCTTGCACCCAGTATATTGAAGGAAGGAGGGGAGGAAGGAAGGAATTAGTAGTATGCTTGACTTATTCTGTTAGCAGGAAGGTATTAGGATGTGTGCTTGTTCATTATTTCTAAATAATAAGAAGCTGTTTTGTTTTTTTTTTTTTTTTTTTTACTCCAGCGTGTAGCTAAATGTGATGCTAAAGCATATGAAAATCTTCATGCCCAGATCATAGATATTGCAAGCCAATGCAAGCTGCCAGGTATGTCACAGGCACTATAAATTTTAAATGTTCTGAAATTTTCAATCTTTTTTTACAATTGTAAAAAAAAACAAAAAACAAAAAAACCCCACACAAAATAAAAATATGAAGGATGAAAACAGATAATAACAAGAGAAAGTAATTGTTCTGGGACCAAAAAACACACAGCCTCTTAATGAAATATTACCACAGACTTTTTTTACTTCCTACAAGTATTTCATATGCAGCTGAAAGGTACATTTTATCATTTGTGTACTGGCCTATTTCTAGGACATGAAGCTGGTTGCTGACTCTCATTTGGAGAGTAACAGATACAAACTCCAAGACTATAATGGTCCTACAAAAATTAATTCCTTTTCCACCACAATGACAAGCAAATTAATATCACATTGTTTAAATAAGTAACTACTTTTAACTTTCTAAAGGGGTTCAGTGTATTCTTTTGGAAGGCAAAGGAACTGAGGACTTTAAGATTTTGTCCAAAATTGGTAATTCACCTACTGATACTATCATTGTTTATTTCATACTGTATGGGTTTACTTACATATGATATGTTAGACTACTTTTTTTCCCCTCAGTAAACAAATTACTTGGAATTTCTAAGTTCATTACAGTCCAACTCCCAAATTGTTTACTTATTGTTACTTTTCCTCCAGCCATCTATTTGGACACAGATTATCATAGCTCCAGAGCTTTAGAACAAGGAGTACAGTACTTCTCCATGTAGTAAGTGCTGCATTCAGACTTGTTTTTCTTCAAGAAATTATAATGATACTCTTCAACACACTCATTCATTGCCAGTAACATGCACTTCTTGTTTCACCTGATCCAGGTCCTTCCACACATGTAGATGTTCCCTCTCTTTATTTGCTAGCTACCACAACTGCTACAAACAATTCTTGTCTCTGCAAGAAAACTGTTAAGTATCCAGTGCAACACTAGGTGCTGATGCAGCGCTTTTTTAAATAACCAGATAATGCTGTTCATATAAACCTCAAAGATATTTTGGTTTCATTTGATAGACCCAAATATGAAGCACTCTAGAAGGCGGGAGTTTATAACTAACTGTTTTTCCTAGCCCTTATCTATGTTGAATCTTTGTTCCTTTGATCTGAAATATGTTGGTTTCTTTCAGTTGAAGAAACAGTAATTCCTGTCACTTCCAGTGGTTGTCCAAAGACTATCCCAAAAGACAGTCCAGAACTGAAGGAACTACTGAAGGTTTCTATGGAGAAGTATAATTTGGAGAGCAATGATGATTTCTACTATAAAAGTGGAGCAATAGAAGCAGCGACAGTTCAGGTTGGGACACACCACAGAAACGAGGAACAGACATGGCAGCATTATTGATCTGAACTGAATGTTAGCTAAAGTTTGTATTTGATTTGAAATAATGTTTTTCTCTAAGAGTTGATAGATGTGGTAACTGAAATACCCATGCAATTTTTCTTGCAATATTTTATTTTAAAATCTCTCATCTCTTGATTATTTTTTTAAATATTTTTTCTTAAAACAACATGATTTTAAAAGCATGGGGAAAAGATTGACTTAGGATATTGTATTTCTGTATATCTACCCCACATTTTACCAGTCTTAGTAACATACCTTAGACTTTTAAAGTAGAAAAGTAGAACCTACCTATTTGATCCACCACACCAATATTCTGTATGTTATTTTATGTACTGTCCACCCTACAGTAGCTGTAAGCTCCAAGAAATGGGGCTTCCTAGTTTCCCTTAGATATGTTAACTTGTATACTGATTGTGCTCCTAATACTCCAGTTAGATTCACAAGAGAACATCTACGCATAACTTAAGATATACAGATAAATACAACTGAATAAAGAAGAACAAGGAATCAAGAGGATAATATTGGTCAGCATCTGTCTTGTTTAGAGTCCCATCATATCAAAACAGAGGCTTGGGACAGAATTGAAAATAAGACAGTGAAGTAGTTCGGAAAATATTTTGTCAACAACAACTCCTGAGCGTGAGGGGAACCACTGGAGAAGGCACTAAAAGCACATCAAAGTTTTTCTGAATAGTTCACATTATCTAACTAATAATATCTGTGCTTTTTCTTCTTTTAAACCTTTTTTCTTCTTTCAAACTTCTTTCTCACTTTTCATGTCATGATTGATATTAGCATGCACACATTTTTAAAATAGACATAAAAGAGACAGAATTTCATGTTTTGCCTGCTGTCTCTGAAGTAAGATATATTATCTTGGGCTCTATAAATGCTAAGAGAACTTGTACCAGGCACATTCTTGAACGCATGCAGTTTCTCTCCTTAATGCATTTGTCAAATATGTTCATTTTCAACTGAACCTGTTCATCACACACTTCATTTTACTCACATTCCACTTTTCTAACATCATATTTGGCTCTCTACAGTGGTGTCTCTAATGATTTCATTTGTTATTAATGAAATTACTGCAGGCATCCAATAAAACAAAGCCAAAACTGTGGGCCTGATATTATTTTGACCTTTCTGTTTCCTTCAATTTCAATGCTGGAAGTTTTGAGAATGGGAACTGGAGTAAATAAGTAAGTTGACTAGAAGCAGATAGGTTTGCTGCCAAATATTTTAATATTGTTCTTAACATATGTTGTCCCAGTGGTCAGGATTTGTAGAATAAAGTAGTTTAAGTTTGTAGAAAAACATCTTTCCTGTGAACCCTTTTCAATCCAATGCCTTTACCACAGAAAGCCTTCTTGCTAATTTTTCAGGTGGTTGCAGGACAAAAATACCATTTAATATTTTCAGTCCAGAAGACAAACTGCTCAAAAAAAGAGTTTGAAAAACTTCCTGAAGACTGTGAAGCCACAACAGGCAGTGTAAGTAATGATGATGTTGCCAACTGTAATGTTCCTAATGGACAAATTCATTTGCACCAGAAATTGTAGACTCTTAAGTGAAATCACATCCTGAGTTCTGTTACCTCTTTCAGAAATTTTTTGTTTCAACAAGGACGCCTTTCACTGTTTGTAACCCAAGCCAGTGACAATGGCAGTAAAACATGAAGGCTAAAGTGAGTCACTCCAACTGCAGGATCAGTGCTTACTGCAAAGTGAAAGGAACTCTCTTCTGATAATAATGAATCAAAGTAAGGAGAGGAGGCTGCTGTGAAATTAAATAGCTGCAATACTCCTTACTCTGTGGATGTGCAGCTAAGGAAAACATGAGGTTGGAGTGTTACTGGTATGCAAAGGAGTGATGTTTCTAAAGTGCATGCTGCTGATACCAGGAAAATGTGTTCCAGCTACTGGAAAGTAATGCTGATAGGGCCAGAAACCACTGGCAAGGGAGTTGGTTGGGAAAGAGAGGCTTTATTTCCCTTCTCTTTTCACACCACATGAACAGTGCTTACCTGTGAGATTTTAAAAGCAGCAGCCACTAGATATTAAAAAAAAATGCCTTTCTCTCTATCTCAATTGCCCAATTTTTAATAGGAGAAATACCATCAATAAACAATATTTTGCAGGAATATCATGAAGATTAAACAGTTAGTGCTCCAAAAGTGCAGGCGATGAAAAATCCCATTTTTCAAGATCCAATCTCCAGTTCAAATTTAAAGTGTTCACATAGGCATACTATAACCTCAAAAAGTTAGGCAGTGATGTGTCCCAATACAGAAGTCTTCATCACTAAGATGGATTTCATAGATATTTGGGTAGAGTTCCAAGTACATTTGTATTTAAAAGCATTATTAAAGAATCATAACTTTTTTTTTCATGCACAATTCTCTTCCTTTGTATCTGATGTTTTGTTGCCTTAATATGGTGATTTTTGTTTTCTCAACAGGTACCATTGCCATGTGAAGCACAAATTCACGTGATCCCAGGGGAGGATAAAATCCTTCCCCAGATTCAGTGCTCTGTAGAACGGTCAATGGTATGATTCCTCTTCGTTATCCATCATCATAAGTAAAGAACAAAGGCAGTCATAAAATTTTTTATGATTTCCAAATTATAGGATATTTTGTACCAAAAAGAAAGGGACTCCTAGTGCTTTTAACAACCTCAGTAATGCCACACTCCTCCCTTTCACCCTCTAACTTCAGCAACTTGTTACCTCTAAGTCATTTTTACTGGGAGGTGAGGCAGTGGGCAACCCAGGGGTGACAAACGCGAGGGTGACAGGACAGAGAGAATGTTCTGCCTGTTGACTACTCTTTTACATTAGCAGTTCAATTCTGAAGTATCAAGCCCCATCAGCTCCTTTGAATTACTATTCATACTAGGTTTAAAAATTGAGACAAAAATGTATTTGGTGATACAATAATTATACCCCACAGATTTCAAAAGCATCTGCAGATCTTTTCATATTAGTAGAGTAGCAGATCTCCTGCCATGAGTTGTCAATCTCTGGAAGATCTTTGTTTCCTTCCTGCCTAGCCCTGAACATGGGTCAGTTTGAAAATTTCAGAATGGAATATAAATCTTTTTTATTATCAGAACTTTTTTAGTTCTGATGACCGTAGGTGTTTTCATAAATGCAGGGACTCCCATGCTCCCCAATGAAGAGAAGATACACTGAATAAAGTGAGATTGATTAACTTGCATTCAGAATCAATAACTTCCCTGTGCACAGCACCTTCATAACTACCTATTCATTCATTATGTATCAACTAATAAAAGTCTCTCCTCTTTGTTTTCACCACAATATTGTATCCACATCAACTTTCAAATTTAGTTCCATCCCAAACAACTCTATTTTGCAGCTAGATAATGATCAGACACTTTAGTGGACAGAAATGAAACCCATGTTGGATAGTCACTGTACACCATGCATTCAGTCTTTGTCTTCCAGCTGAACAGTGATGGGGAAATGGAGATTATTCAATAACAACTGAATGCTTCATACTATTAGCTTTAACGAGATGTGGTATTTCTAAGCAGTCTTATTAAATGCATATTTCAAATCTAGAAACAAAAAATTGAATAGTTATATTTCGTATAACAAAATGACCCAGATCTTTTGTATATTCTAGTATTGAGACTACTCAGAGATGTGTTAGCCTTTAGCATAAATTGGTTTTACACACTGGAGTGTTATACTCTAACAAGCGCAGGGCCATCTAGTCCTAGAAATCAACTGTGTTGTTCATAAATTAAAACCAGTACACATGTTTTCCTCTCTATAGTATCATGTTAAACTGGCAGAATTTCTGAGATATATAAATTGTTATTTTAATGTATAACTGCTAAAATACTCTGGAGTTACTTGGAAGGATGTTTATGTTTCCATGCTTATCACAGATAGAAAAGATAACTATTCTGTTTACTTTAAAAATCTGATAACATAATTTTGCTAAATGACTCATGTACTGCAATAAGCCAACTTCTGAATTTCCCAAAGCTGAAGCTATTGTTCTTGTTCATGTAACAAATATGGCTATTATTGCAATGTTTTTTAGCCTGTACTTCTAAGAAGGCCTCCTGGATTCACACCTTTCCGAAGCTTTGCTACGCTAGACCAACCAAATGAAATTTTATGCTCTGATAAAAAAGAAGAAGAAAGGCAGAGTCCTGGCAAAGAAACAAGAAAAGATGGTGGACAGGAACCAGAAGGTGAAGGTGAACATGAGCATAAACACAGGCATAAACATGGGCATAAACACAGGCATGGATATAAAAAGGATCATGAGTCTGACAAAAGGCATAGGCATGAAATTGGTTGTGGGCACAGAACTAGCCATGGGTGTGGGCATAAAAAACATAGTAAACATAAACATCCAAACCCCAGATCTTCTGAGGAGTCCAACAAAAGGGCTTTTAATCAAAACAAAACCCTCCCATCATCCAGCACTGAAACAGCATCAGAGCTAGTTAATTTAGGGGTTGCTAGAAAGGAAATGTTTACACCTGCAGAATCACTAATTCTCCCTGATACTTCTTTATTTAATGGGTTGCCAGATCGCCCAGAATCTCCTCTCCCCAGATGTCCTGGAAAACCATGGAAACGAATTATGGACCTTCCAGCTCTTTCTGGCTTTACCAGAGAATTCATAAATGAGGATCTCTTGCCTGTCACAGCAGAAAACATCAATTCAGCAACAGAAAATCCAACACCTCCCCAAAGCAAAGACCTTGCTCTCTCGGATGCTTTACTCTAATTCAAACATTGTAGGATCCTTTTCAGAAATTATACACAGAAAAATAAGAAAAATACTGCCTTTTTGGATGTATAAAATGTGAAGAGTCACAAGCTCCTATTCTAAGATACTTAAGTAGGTCACCAGCACTTCTGGGGACCTAAGACCATATGGCAATACTGTGTATTTGCATATATTTGCAAAGATGTAAATCAGGCAATGGCACCAATGATTCAGAACCAGTCTAGTAAAGGGACCAGGCAAGTCAATAGCCTTCTGCTGCAGAAGTTAAAATTGTATCTTATTTGCCTCAAGTTGCTATAAGCACAAAGTGAATCACTGCATCAAATCTCACTGAATATGTTTAAAACAATGGCACAAAGAATGTCACAGATTGTATGAAGAATCTCATCCAAATATGGGTAAGACATAAGCAAGCCAATATAGAGCAAGGATGCCTTTCTTAGATACCTGAAATAATATTCCTCTAATCTACTGGAGTGAATCTTTTAAAGAACAAAATAAAATAAATGAACATGTTTTACCTGTCGATTTCTATAAACAAATTAATATTATCACCAGTCTATCACTAGCAGGTTGTTCTGCTGCATGAGATAACAGGGACAGCTAAGACAACCTTACATAAAGCAGCTTTATTATTCCCTATGCATATTATGTTAACTGCACAGTAGAGGCACTATGATTGACAGATTTTCATGTGGCAGAGGTGCACAAATATTACAGATCAGATGACAAAATTGCAAACACCTGAGTTACCTAAAATTTGTCTGCCTTATTCCATTATTAGGTTGTGCAAACTTTAGAAACTGAACTGAATTTTCTATTCTATATCATATCACCCAAATGTTGAGTTTTTGGTGGGCTACATTAGCTAAAAAGCACCAAATATTTCTGGCAAATTAAAATATGTTTTCCCTCTGGCTGGATTCAATAACTTATTCAGCTGAAAAAACACCCAGCAATAAATAAATACTTTAATGTTAGATCAATTCACCAGTATGACTACTCAGTCCTGTAAAAGGTTATTGGAAGGGTAAGGTGCTACAAATCTCAACACTTTGATTTCACTGAAAAAGACCACACTGCCTGAAACCACAGTATAAGTATCCTCCAACATAGCTGCAGAGATAGAAAGGATATTCTCTGGAATTGTTTATCCCAGCTGCTGGGACTTCTGTGGCATTAGGACTATATACTCAACAGCGGGGAATGCATCCTTCTTTTGTGTGCTATGCTTCTATTGCCCTCACCTCACTGGTGAGGAAGAACTAGATAGATGAAGACTACTTAGAGGATGCAAAACAGATGGATTAACAGGATCAGGGGGTCTTGGCACAAAAGGTCCAGGAAGATCTTGAAAGACAAGACAGTTATAAGGAAAGGTCAGAAAACACAGAAGTGGAAAGGACAGAGGCATGGTGGAACAATATGGAACAACATGGACAGGGTGAAAAGAACAAAAGAAACCAGCTACTTAGTGTCAAAAATGGAAACAGAGTGAATGGGGTGGAGAGGTGGGTGAAAGCAGCATGGGGAAGGAACAAAAAGGGACAGGAACTGGAGAGGGGAGGTAAGAGCAAAACTGAAAAGCAAAAGACCTGTGCAGGAGGGTCTCTCCAATTATGACAAGACAGTCCCCTACAAATCACAGAACTGAACTCATAGTTCCTGAATCTAAACATCCCCTGGCAGCATACATACTTCCCCTCTCCAGTGCCTGGTTCCTACAGAGGTAAACAAACTTCTGCATTCAGTTACCTCCCCAGCTCACGTGGTAGATAACTACACTGTGAGAAAAAGAACTCAGCCCTTCTGATAATCCATGTTGAGTGAGAATCATTATGATTTTGGACATGCAATTTCTTTTTCTTCATTTTCCTAATAGCAATAAAAGCCACATTAAAATGATATTTTAAAAGTCATGAAGTCCAAAATTAGAAACTGTCCCTGTGAATATAAATTTAGTCTAGTTCTGTGTATCTAAACATTTTTTTTAACACAGTGTAATTGGCTGCCATATAGGCATATATTAGATAGATAATTATCTGCCATGACTGGTGACATATAATCAGAATCACTCTACCTCTTAAAGATTGGTAGATTTGTTTTCAGAAAGAAAAGTTGTTATACAACTTAGCTGAAGTCCCATTTTAAGGAAAGATATAAAAATAATAACTCCTGGATCTATCACTAATCAAATCCTGCGATTTTTTTTTCTTTCATTCCTTTCCTTGCAGGATAAAATGCAAAGTCTCTTTTCTTTTTAGTACATGACAAGTACTAAACCTACAAACCTAGGAAAAGGCACTTTGTTTCTTTTTTTTCTGAACATTTACTGGTATGGTTTTGGCTACAACTGGGAACTCTCCATGTATGCTGTATTATGAAAAGGAGTATAAGCTCAAAACAGTTTTTCTTTAAATTACTGTAGCAATTTAAGTAATTAATGCAAAATTACAATAAAAGAAATAAAGAGGCATAGATGAGAAAACCAAAGTTTTCTTCCTATGTCCGATCTCCCTCATGTGAATGGAAAGATAGTCACATTCTTGACATATGTGCATGACCATAAGTAATGAGACATAGACTGAGTGGACAGAGCAGGGTAATAAAGCCAAGACTCCTAGATTCTCAACTGCACTGAAGTTACCACATGCTATAGTGATAATGGAAGGCTTCATTAATGTCTAATATAAAGTTGACAACCAACTTCAATTTTGGCCTCTTGTTTTTATAATTTGCAAAATAATTACTAAAAAAAAAAAAAAATTATTCTGGAATACAAATCAAAGTGTTTCCGTCTAAAAATTTTGAAACAATGTTCTGATATTTTTAGAACGGAACATTTCAATTTCTCATTGACATGTTCCCATAGAGTTTTAATTATAACAAAACAGCACTTTCTGATGGGAAAATATGCTGCCAGAAAACTACTGACCAGGCCTGCTTCAGATCTGCTGTTGACCGGTTCTGCAAAACTACCATTTTCTCCTATTGCTGTAATCAGGCTGGAGTGCTCTATCCAGTGCACCGCAGCGCTTAACAAGTACTTTTCTTCTTGGTCAGCAGGTGGCAGATTTTTTGCCGCAGGCTTTTATTGTCTCCAAATTAGAGGTTTGTGATTGCCGGGAAAGGTTTAGTAGGCTTAACATTCAGCGTTTCTTCTGGGTTAGTAACACTGTAGATAAAAACACTACATTTGTGCAATCCATTTTAAATATTAAGCTCTATCAATAAAACATAAAAAAGATTGCCAATTATTTATTATGAGCAAGGTGTATAAATAATGCTCTAAGTGTAATTTCATTAACATAAAAAAATAATAGCTAGTCTTGCACCAGAGAAATTGCATTCTTACAGATAAAAAAAAATCAGAACTAGGAGTCTGGGGTACGAAAATATGTCTGAATTAAACCTCTGTTCATTATACTGCTGAGATCCAGAGCCACCTGATGGCCATTCTGCAGATGTCTGGATTTAATATGCTCTCTCTTGTTCTTTCTGTCTGTGTCAATGAGATAAAATATATATTTTAACTGACATATGAAAAACTCCCCGGCATTACTATGGATGGCCTACCATATTTTTGCTATGATTCAGACAAGACCTTTTTAATCACACTCAGCAATTCCAATTATCTTCTAATGCGAAGTTCATATAGTGTAACTAGCCATGAGAGAGAGATGTGCAGGCACCTGACAACAGAAAATGGGGAGAATTAACAATGAACACTGGTATTTGATAAGACATAAGAACCCATTTCTTTCCCTGTTTTCTCAGGTCTCTCAGCCAGCAAGATAACTGCTCCCAATTTAGGAATATCAACTCTGAGGATAAAATGAGTCTAAGTGGATACAGAATTAGAAATTACAGTGCTGCATGGCCATTGTCATATAGAGAGAGCTGTATGAAATCCAATGTACAAATTCCTCAAATATTCTTAAAAAAGCAATGGGGATAGATATTTTCAATTCTGTGACCAGCTATTCACACACAACTCCTAATTCTGCTGTGTTTACAACACTACATTAGTATAATTCAGCTTCCAGTTTTAATTCAGCTTTGAGTGAAGTTAATTTGGTAAAATGTAATTACTAACACAATGTTTCTACTGCGTTCTAAAATAAGAGGAAGGCTGCTTTAAGGAGGAAAGAGTGAAGGTTTTCCTAATTGGGTAAGGTATCTTGCTACAATGAATAGTAATATTACTGCTCTTCTTAAACTGGTTTCAATTTGCGGCTCAGTGAAAACCCAAACAGAAGCTTCAAAGGCATAATTTCTATCAGTATGGAGTAACAGGGATTATAAACCTGTTAGTGATTCTCTTCTTTTCTGTCATGAATACTGATAGTGATGATCTGTGAGTTGAAGATCAAGCATTAAATTACTGGCTTCACACAGCAAACTTACCTTGCTGATTCAGTTCAAAGTGAGTCACAGAGAACCAGAACTCCCCATAGCATAGAATTCCCCATAGTCATGCCAAAGAACTACATTTGTTTTAAAACTGAAGAGCCTGAACCCAAAATATCTTGTATAAGTCACTGTATGAATCCAGTGGATGACCCTCCATTTTCCACTGGATGTACTTATTACAGGAGCCCTGACAGACCTCTTGCCTTGAAACAAAAAAAAAATAATTGTATGATCAAAAAACAAGGGAGTGAACAAACAAAACTGATTAAGGCAGAGAATGAATGAGGATGCACCTTTTATCCAGGGATGACATATTTCTAACTGAAACTTAGATTACTACAAAAAACTCAAAACAGTTGGGTTAGATAAGATGGCAGATTATTGATTTCAAGGGGGGAACATAATGCTCATCAACAGAACGGGGGAATTATAGTATGTTTAAAGAAAGACTTTGACCTACATGCCTGAAACACTATAGTTCGGTACCTTGAAAAATCCACCAGACACATGTAAAGAAATTTAGACAATAAAGGAACATTGTTTTATTTCTTATTCTAACCATTGAGCATGTCAGCAGAAGTTAATTCCTTGCCATTCAATCCAATAAAAAAAATATAATGCCATAAAGCATCACAGAGAAGAAAAGAAATTATAACTGAATTATCTTCATTCATATGTGCCAGCTATTCTACTAGATGTATATTGACTAAAAGAGTAGTAATGCTCACAAAATTAATAAAATCAAGAGAGATAACGAGACATACCTCAACTTCTCAAGAACCAATCAAGTACTAGCAATAT